CCCCCCCCCCCCCCCCTCCGCCCAATCGACTCTTCTTATCCTTCCTTTTATCGTCCTTAACGTTCTCTTATCGGTCTGTGATTGATCGAGGCAAGCTTTTATAATAATTACTCGATTATCTCGGCGTATTAGCCCTAATTGTTTACGGCGACTTGGCACATATACTTAGTTACGTTAAAGCATGTGTATATATGTGTATATATATATATATGTATATATCATCCATAGTCCGAAAACACCCTTATATGAAATTATGTAATTTCCCTTTTTTTTCAATAACACACGTGACACGGTCACGATGCGTAAGAATTTTTGTAGGTGTGAAAAAAAAAAATAAAATAAAAGCCAAATCTACCGAGAATGGGAAAATCAGCAAAAGGTTTTTCAAGGCTGAGAAAATGTCTCGTACGTGAGTACCAGACCACGTGGGTGGATTCGCCGCGAGAACAAAAATCGCGGCGAGGAAGATCGGACCGTGTTTGTATATATACGTGTATATAGAGTCCTCGTGTGCAGGGGGACGAGGGGGGGTGGTCCTGGGCTTGTAAAGATATTAGGCGAAGGGTAGCAAGGAAAGCCCATCACCGCGAGCCTCGTAAATTTTACGTAGCTGCCGAAACTCTCCCTTGGACCGGCGTCTCTCCTCGCAGTTACGTTACCGCACTCGGCGTATAGGCCTATATAAGAATATACTGCAAGTAGCATCTCTTCAATCCGACCCCATTCACATAGCCCTCCTTTTCCCTTTCTCCGCTCCCATTTACACCCCCCTCAACCGCCCCTCTAGAATATACAGGGTATACGTGTATATATATATGTATATATAGACACATGTGTCTATATAGACACATCAAATCTAGAGCTTCCTCATACATCGCACAGGTGAAGATACATGTAGGGTGTGTATATATATATTTACAGATACAGGGTGCTTGGGGGAGCAAGCGGGAGGGCGAGGGGGAGGGAATAAGGGTGTTTTTCGTTGACTTCTTACTTTACCTATCTATTTGTTCTCTTTGCCGTACTGTACTTTTCTAATACTTTTGCCTCTTTCTGTACCTGCTGTACATCCATACCTTTTTGTACGTGTGTTATTTGCACGTTGCTCCTGGAGCCGCCACCTCCCGGTAAAGGGGGCATGGAAAAAGTTTCCGGAACAGAGTATAGCTGCTGCCGGATCTTTGATCCTGGAAGCCCGTGCAAAATCCTGGATTTCAGAATATCTTACGCGGGAACCCTCTTGGCACGTGTACCGTAGGTATGTACAGTCTGTGAAATAAATGGTCGAATTTTCAGTGGACGCGCTGCTGGGTGGACGGAGGTAGTGGGATATTATTGTATACCAAATGGACTGGGGGACTGTTGGTTACGTAACACAGGTGGGGATACAGTTGGTACGGGGATGTATGTTGCCGATGGGAAGGATCCCTCGTGGCCTAGACTATTTTTATGCATATTTAGGGGGATGAAAGCCTTTCGATCCTCTCGAAATGGAAACTTGAATTATTGCTGGTATTTTGTAGTTCTTTTTTTTTTTTTTTAGTTTTCTTATGTCACGTGATTTATACGGATCTTTTGTGCGCATGCGCCTCGCGCACGTGTTTCTCGTATTTAGACAGGCGCGAACAGGCTCGCGATAGGAGGGAGGTTGGAGTATGTTATCTTTGTAAGAAGATTTTCGTCGAGGACGAGGGGAATGAACAAAAAAATGACACCGTATAGAGAGGGGTCGGAGAAAAATGACGAACAGACCCGTAAGCGATAAAGGACTTTGGCGGGAAGATTTAAATCGGTAAGAAGGACCCGTCGGAGAGTATAGAAATTTTTAGGTTAGTTTTTCGTGATCTTTTTTTTTTAATCGTTCCTTACCTTGTTATTTATGTTCTACCTCTCTGGCTAGCGTACCGCCACGTGTGGATCTTGTATTTGTTTTTTTGAATTTTTTTTTTTTCAAATTTTATTTTACTTCCGGTCGTAGCAATCGACGTGCAAAATCAATAGCTGAACGCGCGATTCTTGGAGAGATTGAAATTTCTGTGCGAACACGAAACGAGGAAAAAGGAAAAATGATGAAAAGTAAAAATTGGGTCGTGCGAAAATTCACTGTCATACGTTTAAATTGCGAACCGCGAAAAGTTCGATTTCGCGTCTCGCCGTCGGAGAAATGCCATAAATGAGGATGGAAAGGCTGAAGGGAAGGGTCGAGGGTCGAGGGGGCTGGGAGGAGGGAGAAAAAGTTTTGAACGAAACCCCGGGGGCTACACTTCGCCGATACGATGTCTACGGTCCTGCTTAGTTCTATAGCAGTGAATTTTCGTCCGATCCACTTACACGTATAAATGTATTTCTGCGAGGAAAGGGAGACAGACAAGTCTCGCTATTTGAAAAATCTTTAAATTTAGATCATACTAAAATTTTAGTCACGCCGTACCAACCTGTGGTGATCGTAGCTCAAAATTAGTCACGAGTCGATTGAGGTTAAAAAATTATATTTTTCCGGCAAAGGATAAAGAAAATGTAATGTTAAAAAATTTTGAGAAAAAAATAGCCATGGAAAACCTAAACCAGGCGAATTTCCAGGACTTAGCATCAGCGTACTTGTCGACGGGGATTACGACGTCGACGTCGACGTCTACGTAGTCCCGGGATGAAGCGTCCTGCGGAATAGAATCGAAAGAGGGCAGTTCGGATTAGCATATTATTCACTGGCACCCCCGTACCTAGCGTTGGGTTCCTTAGAACAGGTGCCCTTCCACTTACTCTTATCTTTTCTTTCCTCTCTCTCTCTCATTCACCGTAGCCATCTTCTATAACGTCCTATACCTCTTTCTCGCTGTCTCTCGTCTTCCTAACAAAGTCCGAAAAAACACTGCAGCGTCAAAACTTTAAATCCTCTCGAATAATACCGAGGCGTCGCCTGCGTCGGGCGACGTCTCGTCTTATTAAAACGCCATGTCTCTGTGAATTCCCTCGTGTCTTCTCTCTCTCTCTCTCTCTTTCTTGTTTTTATTCAGTTTCATCTCCTACCATCTTTCCATTTCCCTCTTACCTTTCTCCTATCTTTACGTCAGCACTGTCATCCTTTATATTCCTTGATTCTCCGTGATTCTCGCTTCGTTACTACTTTTTCAGATTTTCAATCGGTCCACGTTTGAAAAAAAATTTATCGTGACTAACAATCGTTTCAATCCGAGTTCACTTAGACGAAGTGGTGACAAATTTTGAATCTGGTAATAAAATTTTTTTTTTTTCAACTTTGGGGTAAATATGTAAAATTTTTTTATTGTTTTTATAAATCTTGTACAATCGTTTTTTTTTTTTTTAATAATTGTATCGTAAAACTTTGGGAGTTTCGTTGCATCTCGTCCGGTACGCTCTGCTAATTAGGATTGCGCAATTAGTCGGTTTGCACGTGCGTCCTAATCAGAATGGAAGTTTACTCCCCGAAGTTGACGAGTCCAACGTAGAAATACCGTCTGGAATCCTGTTATCCTTGGTGCTTATACTTGCTCAAAGTGCCTCACGGATCTTGGCATTGGGTGCAAAAAGCAGTGTAGACTTTAAGGGTGGTAATTTTAAAGCGAGATAAACATAAATATATGACACTGAACCTAAGCCACAGTTACGTAATGCCGATCAGGGATTAATTTACCGCGTAAAGAATTTTGGCGTACCCTAATTTATCGATGGTAATTGTTTCTAATTTTTCCAAGCTCGGACGGCAAAACAGTTTACGGCTGAAAAATGATGATCAATAAAACGGAGGATATTCCTAAGGAATTATTTTAAAGTTATTTCAGAGTTCAATTTTTCATCTCTTCGTACGCCCGCTCTAATCGTACTCGTTGCTTTCTCTTTTCACTTTGTACCCGTTCTTAGGCCATTGATTCTCCTTATTCGACTAATTTTTTCAATCCAACTCTCCTCCCGCACTAATTTCTTTTTTCACCTCCCAAGAAACGAGGACAGTCTCGCAAGGTACCGGCCGGCCATAGGAGTGGACATCTGGCAAAGACGTCGCCTCGAATCCTCCTTTCACTTGGCGAGTCGTGCCAAAAGGAAGCAGGACTCGAGGGGGTGGCCGGCTGTGGGTGGTTGCAGGGAGGTCACGGGAGGGTCGAGAATCTGCGATTTCGCTCGCCGATAAAGGGGATAAATTGACCTCCTCTCCCCTCCCCTCCTCCTCCCCCTCCCCACCGCGAGCGAAAAATTCAATTAAAAATGAGTCGACCTCACCGGCCTTTCCCATTGCAACCCGCCACACTAGCCTGCACGATCGCCGAAGGCCTGAACGGCAAGTGCACGAGCTCTGATCTTCCTTTTTTTACTTCGGGACGAAAAAAAAGGAACAGCCCCAAAAACTTTCTCAGGGTCCTGCAATGTAAATGGGGTACGAATCGTGGTAAATTAAAGAACTGAGAACCCGTTGGTTCGTAGGTGGAAAATAAATGTTGTTTCTTCACTTTCGAGCCTTTGTTATCCAATGTGGAAGATTTTTGCACGTTGACTGTTGAAATTCGAAATTTTGTAAAATCTTCACTTTTAATCACTCCCGGTATCCACTTTCTGACTTTCGCTCAAATGAGGGACGTAGGTGTACGTGGGCTTGGAAAGTGGGTGGTTATACCCTTCGGCATCATTCATTATCAGCTACCTTCATAAAGGATCATTAATATCGTCCTTCGGACAATGTTACACGTTTTGGCACTAAGAGCTGAGGTAAAAAATCGGCACGGCACATCAGCCAGTTATGCTGTGCTGGAGCCAAGAATTGACTATGTTAAATAGCGTCCTCGAATTCGACGAATTTGGGTTGTGGGAAATTTTGTAGTGAACAAAAAATTTTTTTAATATTTCACCTGAAAATAATGGCGGATCGAAAAAAAAAACTTTTTGATTCGCTTCAATTTTTTGGAATAACTTATCATTTTATCTCAACTTTGGGTTAGCTTTATTTATTCTTAATTCGAGGTTATGTCGTGTTTCACTTCCCGAACTTACAATAGCCTCGTTAAGTTAACGTGTATACGTAATCTTGGAAATGGCTTGATATACTGTCGAATGAAAAATACCTTTTTACTAATTAATCGCTTATTTACATAGCCCCCATGGTTAATACCCTCGAAAAAAACAGGCCATTAATCAAATGCTGATGTGGACTAATGGATTTGGCTGGCCGCGAGCCGAACCTAAGGACGAAGGTCCTGACCGATATTTCATCTCGGTACAATCCGAGTTCTCTTCTGTCCAGGACATTTTTCTTTTTCCAAAGTTCTCCTCTTCCTGGACCGTACTACCGGGCGAGCATTGACATTCCCTCATTTTATAGCTGACTCTGTATGGGTATCATATCCATTCCTCCCCCCTCGCCTTTTTTCCTTTATCCCGTTTTTTTTCTCCACTTTTTCCTTCCTCTCTTGATATCCATCATTTTGCATGTACAATATGCGCCTATATATACGGTGAGCATGAAAATCTTAAGAATTTTCAAAAATTACAAATTCCCATGTCCCGGCAAGAATTTCGTTCTCCAAACGAGACTGTTCAGTTAGACGTATCGAATAATTAATTGGCGCGGGAAAATGCATGTGACGCAATCGAAATTTCGTTATCTATTAACGTCAAACTGATTTTTTTCGACCTCTACTACGTACGCATATAATTCAAAAATCTTCGTTGGGTGTTCAATTTTTTTTTTCGCCATTTCAGTTTGGTCAGATTTACCTGAAATTCGAAAAAAAATATCACGGGCCATATGAATTCGATAGTGATGACGTGTGACGTGAAAATCTGATTACGTAATACATGTAAGTCTACAGGGTGGTCTGTTTGAAAATTCCAACAAGACTAATTTAACCATGACCACCTGATACATTAGTATACATGAATTTATTTCGGACCACCCTGTACATTTGAATCGGTTAACTGCAGGCTAAAATATTTATTTTCACGGTATAGAAAGTCGACCACCCGTTACCCGGTCGCGTTTATTAATTATAGCTACTAATTACGTTACGAGTACAAGTAACTCAATACTTGCTATATGGAGAATTTTACTATTAAAAATTCTTCGTCCTCTCGCAGATTACAGGACAAAAATTCTCTATCGGCGATCGTGTTAGCTGTCGTCGATTCGGAACGCCAGGGTGCTCTGCGTATCCTGGAGACATATTTCAACAATGTTGATGAAGGCTAGAAAAAAGAAAAATGGTCAACAGAAAAGAAGAAGCATAGAAATGAAATCAGTAATCCGACGAGACCCGACGGGTACATAATGGAGATACCCATATCGATGGTTATAAGAAGTGGGAACAATGAATGAACTGAATAATAGGAGACGAAAGAAAAAGAGGAGAGACACGAAATAAGGAGGACAAGAAAGAGAAAAGTAATACCACTAGCTGATAACGGTGGAATAATGCGAACGTGGGTTTCGAAATGCTGATTCTTCCCGTGTCATTTGTATATCCATATATGTTCTATGCTACCGTGTATATATATATATATATTCAGAATTTTACAGGCACAAAAGGACGCCCTCGCGATAAAACGGCGCGAAAATCAAACAGACGAGAGGACAGTTAAGTAGGTGGGTATAGGTAGGGATAAGATCGTTTCAGGGATGGCTGATGGCGAATGTGTGAAGGAATGCAGAAATTGTGTGGAAGGTGAAGAGACGAGAAGCGAAGGTTGAGAAGTAGAACGACCCGAAGCCCGTAAAGTACCGTAAAGTCGTAGGCTTTTCGCTGAGACATTAAGCGGCGGACTTCTCGACATGGGAAATTCGCGCGTTTGAATATTACTCACGCTCAATTAAACTCATAGAGCTGCGGCCTACCCGAAAGGCCATAATGGCATAATAATTGATCGAGGCCTTTAGAGTAACTGCGCACACAAACTGCCTCCCCTGTATTCCATCGCCATTTGACTTCGTACTGACTACCGGAAGAGAAATATATTTTGGTCGTATATCAAAAAAAAAAAAAAAAGGCGAGGATAATAAGGAGGAAGAGAAAACATTTTATACGTTCCTTCCTTTAACAATAAGTCAGTCCGATGAAACGCTTTCGAAGTGGGGATCATGAAAGTTTGTATTCACTGGATTAAACTATGTACAAAGTGATATAAATGGTTATGTAATTCATTTTTAATCTTGTTACACTATTACACTGAGAGGTTATATTATTGTGTAATTGGACCTCGTATAGTTGTAGAATGTTTAACGATCTTAAATAAGTGCTTTCTGGATACGTGTTAATGTTTTCTTTATGGGTATCTTTGCCTGTGCATGAGTAACGTGTAAAAGGTGGGGTTAGAATTGAGAACGGCAGTTATGCTGCATAGACGTAGTACGTGGGTACGCACATTCGACATGGGAACGACATTCGACAGTATCCATTTGAAGTAACTGCACTGGATTGTGTCGCCATCTAGGAACTTGTACGTTTACCTTAATTTTATTAGAGATTGTACGATGATTGTACAATCGTTGATTGAGGTTAAGTAAAGTATCAGTAGGTATCTTATCAATGGTTCGAATTCATATCGATTAATGGTAATTGATATAAAGAGGAAGATTGTACAATCGTTGATTGAGGTTAAGTAAAGTATCAGTAGGTATCTTATCAATGGTTCGAATTCATATCGATTAATGGTAATTGATATAAAGAGGAATTAAAACACAATCTCAAAACAACACTGAATGCCAGCTCCTTATGCATACCTGCACTGAAGCGTATGGTGCGACTATTATCCTTAATAGGTATTTTAACGGTGTTACGTACCAGAACTATTGTTAAAATCTATCAGGAAGTATAGAACTCCTCTAGAACAATTGAAAACGCTTATTGATGAAACATTATTCCAAAATTGAAGAGCTACACGGGTGTGGAGCTCCAGCACCGCACTTTTTTAAAATTTCTGAAAAATAATTCAACAATAGGCTTTTTTAATAGTTCTCGAGGAGTTCTTTAGTTCCTGATAGGTTTTAACAATAGTTCTGGTACGTAACACCGTTAAAATACCTATTAAGGATAATAGTCGCACCATACGCTTCAGTGCAGGTATGCATAAGGAGCTGGCATTCAGTGTTGTTTTGAGATTGTGTTTTAAACAGTTCCCGGATAGTTCTCTCTAGTACTCAATGTTGGAACCATAGTTCCGTTTTGAACTATTGTTAAATAATGCTGGAAGCTAGCACCACATCGCTTCACTCCTTAATGCAGGCAGGCATTAGGTGCTGGCTTTTCTCTTAGTAAATCTTATCGAGCTTACACTGTGCAGTCGAATTTAAAATTACAAAAGAAAATATTTAGGCAATATTTCATGAGCGGCCTCGTTCTAAGGGTTGCTCTGGTAACCAGCGGTATGTTTCGGAGAACCTCTGCCGGCCAGGCTGCACGTAGTGATCACGTTCAGCTCGGCTACGACGGGATACGCTTTGTCGACGGAGGTGGTGATCACAAAATCCTACTTCCAAAATCGCCGCTACGATTTAGCGCCGTGATTTTGGTATCACCTGAAACCGTAGCGTTGTGCTTCTCCCTACTCATCTCTGGTAGTACAAGATACTTCACATCATGTCGTGAAACTTTGATACTACATTTCTTTTACATAACCTTTGTCTTTGCAGAACGTGATACAATAAGTCAGGTTTTGTATTGAAATATGTCATCTTGGGGCACCACGTATCGATTCAAACCATTCAGGTTTGAAATATATTCACCAGAAAATCAAAAATGGCCAAAGGGCAGAAGTGGACATAGGATTGCCTGTAATGAACGTTACTTGTACTCTTATGGTGGCTATAATCCTGATGCACGGGAGGATACTTTTTTCCAAGATCCAACGTGGTTTATAAGTAGGCCACTCTTTAAAGAAATATGGAGATTCAATCTTGCTACACACCGTTGGAAACGGTTGCCCAAGCGAAGGAGTTTGCCTAATGAAATGGCCTCTTGTGCTGTTGTTTTAAGAGGCGATATCTTAATAGTTTATGGAGGAACTGGGTTTCCCTTTGGTGAAACTTGTAGCAATAAAGTATATCTTTGTAATGTCAAAGATGGCTCAACAAAACCATTGCCTGCTACTGGAAAATTTCCAGAATCACTTTATGGGATAGCCGTAGTTTGTCATGGGCCTTACTTATATACAGTTGGTGGCACATCAGGGTATGATTTCCATTGTGACATTCATCGCATTGATCTTAGAACAGGAGTGTGGGAAAGTGTGTATATTTGTACTGGTGCTGATGGATATGAACCTGAAGGTAGATACCGACATGAGTTAGCCTACGATGGAAAACGGATATATGTCTTTGGTGGTGGTACCACACTGCACTCTCCTCATTTCTCGGTAAATAAAACAATTAACATTCAATTACTTTCATGTTGTTAAATAACTTTCATTTATTGTTTAGTTACAGATAATACCCACTTTTGACTTAGAATCGAATAAATGGATGTCTCTAGCGACGCATGGGAAAGAAGATTGTAAATATGTTCCTGCTGATAGACTGTGTCATAGCGTGGTTCAATACACGGACGACAAAACTGGAGTGACTTATGCTGTGATATTTGGTGGTTTCAATGGAGATGAGGTTTTTCGGGACATGTGGCGACTTGATTTGAAACTTTTACAATGGACATGCTTATTGAGGGTGGTAGATACAGATCCTGTATACTTTCATTCAGCAAGTATTACACCAGAAGGTTGTATGTATTCCTTTGGAGGTGTGATTAGAAATGGTCATCAGGTAATTAAAAATAAATTTACGTATACTTTAGTACCTTTAAAAATTCTTAATACAGGACTAAACATATATTTTATTTCAGACACGAAGATCAGACACAGTTCTTGCGGTCTGGTTGAAAATACCTAAATTGACGGAAATCAGCTGGTTGGCATTAAATCATTACTGCAAAAATTTGAAAGATATGTCGAAAAGCGATCTATTGCTCTTAGGCATACCATTGAACTTTGTACAAAGACTTATTGATGACGATCTATAAGTAGAAACTTATTAATTATACAGTATTCTGAAAGAAATCAGCTACTGTTACCAGTTATTTATAACTCCAATATTATTAATATTGATCATTTCTATATATTTTTTTTTATAAATGCATTGACTCTACACCACAATAAGATAATTAACGATACAAATATTGTAACTGAAATAATTGGTAATTTGGATGATTTATATATTTTGATAGTAACAAATAGCAAAGTTCAATCATAATAATGATGTTGAAAGAGTGTCAATATTTTCCAAAATGCTTTTATTTATTTGAGTAAAATCATTTTCATCTGTATAAAACTATTATTATGAAATCCTAAAATTCTGCATAATTATTAGAACTGATTGTTTATCAATGTTCAATAAATATTTACGTTATTTTTGTAATAAATACAAATTGATCTACGGGTGTTGTATATAACTGATATCTAACAATAAGAGCATTGTTTATTTGTAAGAGATATTCAGTGTATCAAGGTAATTGAAAGAATGAAAAATATATCTTCGAAGCGATAGCTGTGATCATAGCTAAAAAAAATCTAGGTGGAATGCGATAAGAGTGACAAATATGCAATTTTCCTTTTATCTCCTTTGTCCCTTTTATAAAAATATCTATCTTTACAGTGATCGTAATCGATTTTAAAGATGATCGGTAACATAGTTTCCTAGATTTGTCAACAACCTAGAAACACATGACCAAATTTTGTTTATCCTTATTCGTTCCTCATTCATATTTATTTATACAAAAGGGCAAAAGTATCACAAATCACAATATTTGAAATTACATAAAATCAACTCTGTATTTCTATTATATCAATATTCTTGATCAATCATCAAGAATTTTAACTCCTCCAGTAGCGCCCTCAGCCCTTCCGTAGCATCATCTAGCGTCTAGTTTGGTAACATCATTCGAATAGCACCTCACTTCAACCCGAGGTGGCGGACAAGACAGACGTCTGCTTCGGGCCAGTTCAGAGGGCTTTTCTGCGTCGTCGGCTTTCATATTCCATGTCGTCATTGTGTTCGAATACACCGTACCTCAATATGTTTGGTGAAGTGTTTATGTAGTATTTGTTGCACCCGTAGACGCCATCCACGTGCCATAACTTGAACGAGACGCCATTGTCATCAAGGTGAAAAAAGAGGCTCCACACGGACGAGTCGACAGCAAGAAAAAGCTCAAACATGGAGCAGAAACGCGTTTACAAAGTGGTGCTCACCGGAGGTAAGTGTGATTATACTTTATCCTACCTGGCAGCATTGAATATTCTATCATAGTCATTGTAATAATTAACAGACTTAATACTCCAGGAATATCCTGATAGGCGCTGCTTCCTTGCCTTTAAATTACATTTAACGGCTGAGACTTCTTTTAGCAGTTCTTGTAATAGATTTGCGCAGCCGTCAAGCATTGCTCTACTAACCACGTGTTTGCGTCCATTCCGCGCTCATTTTCATCATTCGCTATCCTCCAATAGTCTAATAACATATATGATTTATCATAATTCCTTGTCGTTCTTCCCATTGAATCAATTCAGTATCCGATGCATAACGTGATTCTTGCTGAATCATATTCCATTTTATGGCAAAATTGCATCTACGTTGCTCTACTCTATTGGTTCACATTCTTTCATGGAAAATATTGATTCCTTACATAACGATGTATTAAATATTTATTTCGCCTTTTACATAAAGTAATTGAAGCTGTGATAGATATCAAATGAATGGTAGCAATAGAACACATAGTATCCTTCACTGCAAAACATTATATGTAACTGAACGAAGTTGGAAGCGAACATAACCTAAATTGTACGAACAGTTATAGAATTATTTTTCATGAAGTAACAAACTAAATAAATTTGCACTAAATGAACGATGTAGACACAGATATTAGAGTATTGATTTCCAAGAATACGTCACAAACCCGAGCGCGATAATTAATTCTAATTTGAAAATGAACGATAACGCAAAAGTCCACGTAGCAGAATAATTTGGTCCAACGATTTTATTCGTGTTACACGTATCTGCCACGTTGATCTCAATAACTAGAAAACTCATTGGTGGTAAAGTCTTATCAGTTCCAAGTTCATTAATTACATAAATTTCGCCATCCATCGTATGCTTGTATCACGAATAACTGTTTTTCATCAAATTATATCGTTTACCCGGCCATATTACTTTGTGTCGAGGTCAAATCGCTTGCTACATAATTTGACGTAATTTTCGTAAAATTAATTTACTTTGGCATTGAAGCACGTTGTCTTATATTAAATTCATGACGATGTAGTAAGCGTAGCTTTCAGTCACCGCCAAGCTGATCCTTATGAAATTATTAACTTTTTAATATCTACATACCTCGACGTGACGTAATATAGCAATCTTGAAGTTATATGTATCAATGCTTGATTGTTTTTGATTAGAATTGTGTCCCTTATCATTCGAAAGTCTATTAAAATTAATGATAGTGTAAAAAGAAATCCTTGACCGTTAATCTTGGACCGTTGCGTAACCGTTGTTCCAAATATATGATCTTCCTCTTTCAAGCGCAAAGTGAATAAAATTAATAAATAGGTTTTTTAGCTCATGATTTGCAACAACATGTCGTCGTCGTACCCTAGTGATATCGTGGTTCTCTTTTTGAAAAATCTTACATGTGCAATTTCGTTGATGCGTATGGTTATACTTTAACGAATAAGCTACGTTTTAATTAATCTGTATATTCAGCACAGAATTGATACCAGTTCGTTACAATTCCAACCGGTTGAGTCAAGTCGGCGAAAATGGCTAGTCTGCTGTTACATGTGCATAGTTTGTAGACAGCGCGGGTGTATCCTAACGCGTATGTAGGCACATATAACCTTAGTCGAATCATAACACATGTTTTATTAGCCACAGGATGCCTTTTGCTAACGGGATTTTTCCAGGAGTCCGAGTTACTTATTACTTAGTCAGTTCGGAAATTCCCCTCGCGGTACTCGTAGGTTCGAAGTTCAAGGTCACAGTAATTAGATCATAAACATATCTAACTGTCATAATCATATATCAGTCTGCATTACCGTATCTTTCAGCACTGCTAGTCTTTCTATAGAGTGATTTTTTTTAATTACGAAATTGAATGTTTATCTTTTTGACTTTTTTCTAATTTACAGGACCCTGCGGAGGCAAGACTACAGGACAGACGAGGCTCTGCACGTTCTTTGAAAACATGGGCTGGAAGGTGGGCATCTTTTAATTTATATTAATTCAGCTACCAATTGTCGCGCGCGAAGTTTAAATTCATCGCTGAGACGAGCAATCGAAATGATCTGCTCGAATCAATTTTAACGAACCCTAACGGTCTGTCGAAGAGCTCGAACGTCGTGCAATACTCTACTACGTCAGTCATGCGTAGTCCTAAACAATTTATAGATAATTTTTGTTTGACATTGAGCCACCCATTATCTATATTTTTTAATAGAAAAATTTTATTCACATTTAATTCTTCGACTTTGTATTTCTCTCCGTATATATCCTTCCGATGGTTTCCCGTTTAAACGTCAAAGGACACCTTTCGTTCTCCTTCGCATTCTGGAAAACCGGACGGATTGCATAATGCGATCTATTGGCATAAACCGACAAGTTTAACAGTGTGAAAGAAAAGGGGAAAACAAGCTGAAACGGCATATATTTAGTTGGCTGTATTTCCCCAAGGTCACTCTGTATTACGAATTTCAAACGTTCTTTTTTTTTTCTTTGTAATGCTTTTTCCTTCTGGTACCGCTCCATTGTAATTTGTCAATTTTCTATTGCGTGTCATTTTATTGCCGCAGCAATTGCATTTTTCTATCGGAACTGCTGCTGTCGTATAAAAAATCTAAAGAATGACAGTTTCACGTGATATCTATAAATTCGTGCGAATAACGATTCCAATTGTATGGGTTCTTGGGAAACTTACTTTTTTCTCTTCTTCATCCTACTTTCGACTCACGTAGTCGTGAAATCTTGTCGGTTTACGTCGTTGCTTCTTGCCCGAAAATTTGCGCAATCTTTGCCCCACGCAAACGCTTTGTGTCCTTGCACTGCCAACAGTGCAGAACGATATAAGAGAAAACTGGACAATGAGAACAATTTTTTTTGTTGGGGGGAAATGTCTACTCCATTCTGGATCCGATAGAGTGGTGGTTGTCTTCTTTTTCAGGTGTTCCGTGTTCCCGAGACAGCGACCGTGCTGCTCAGGTATGCTATTAAATCACAAGCTATCAAAGTGCTGAGCAGAGATTGTCAGAAAATTGTCACATGAAAAAAAAAAAAAAAAAAAGGAAACTGCCTATTCCCGCACGACATATTCAAAATTCCCCAAAGATCGATGCAGGCGAGAAAAAAATGGCATTAAAAACAAAATTTATCGTTATTTAAAAAATCCAAAAAGAAAGCATACAAAGTCATCGTTGACATATCAAAATTATTCAAGCGTCCATTGACGCTTCTGTCGTAATTTGAAACAACAGTCGCGTATCGTAATGATTTTTCTTCGTCAATTTTTGTTTCGTCTACTTAACTGTCTTATGTTTTGATTCGCTTCTCCGTCCTATCTAAGAGCAAAGAAAACGAGTCGGGGTCCCCCTTGCGCCACCCTCGCCCCAAAAGATATACAACGTCTAAAATGCCCTACGCCAAGCGTTGGTTGCGTCCAAAATAATTTGGACGCGTCTTCCATTTTCTTCATACCCATTTCTCGTACGTTAGAAGTTGAAAGACACAAAAAAAAAGTATCTTCTTTTCTCTCCCTTTCACTCGCCTTCTTTTCCCAAGAGCATTTAGAATTCTTTAGGGAACTTTGTATTACGGAACAAGGTTTTTTTTTCATCCACCGTCTGCTTTTTTTCCATTTCAGTGGCGGCATCAAGTTTTCAGACCTGAACGCGGAAGAGGGTGAGTTTTTTTTCTTGGTCATTAATATTAATTTATTTTTAATTATCCTTATCGTTACGCGCAATTCGTTTACGTTATGCACAGGATTTACGTAAGACTTCACGCTTTTGTTATGAACTAGCAGCTTAACGCGAGCAGCTAAAATCCTCAACGTTGTTGTTGGCCGATGTCGTCGTCCCACTGGGTGGGGAGTCGACGAACGAATTCTCCGAGAAATAAAAGAAATTAACACGTGACCTTTACTCGGCAGTCCGCAACATGGGCGTAGACGGCTTGACGCTTCCGATATGCGAACCGGGATTTACAACGAGGGATTCAGTGACTCGAAAGTTTTTCGATCGACTGCTGTCGGTTACGAGATAGTTTTACGAGTATACGAGAATCTATATAATATACTATACGTTAACGAGGATCAGAATTAATTTTCATTATGAAACCAGTTCTCTACGTAGACTTGTACTCGTTGAATATTAAGTCGAAATTTTCGGAAAATTCAATTCGAGGAAAGTATGCTACTTCGTGTAGATCTATAGCGTACACCTGTAGCCCCTTGGCTGGTTGCCCGTGAATTGATATGTATTTCGTGGATACGGAAGATTCTAATGTGAAATTGTTTTGTTTTTCTTTCTTTCTCAATTTTCTCTCTCTTACATCCTACAGAAATCCGGGTAGCTCATTATTTATCCATACGTCGTGACGCGCTCGCCTTGCGGTTTCTACGTGAGCCGACGCTTCATTGCAAACTGTGGACTTTTGTCCTGTGGATTACCCAGTGGATTGTGTATGCGTATACACAACCCCAGAGCTTTATGTGAATAACAGGCTTTACAGCTTGTAGAGTCGTTGGTAAATTAAAAATGTCAATGGTAGGCAGCGGATGGTCGTTAGGGAGTCCTGAGGTGTTTGCCGTGGAAAAAGAAACAGAGTATCGGGAAGATTTGTCTCTTTTTCTCAAACTTCGGGATGCGACGAAGCCAATAATTAGGATTCGCGAAGAGTATACGAAATAGTGATATTTGATTTTCTGAGGGGACTGTACCACTATGTTACTCGTAGTCGAGATTCGGCATAAGGTATTATCTTAGATGTAAGTGCAGCTTTTCTCGTTTAATTAATGCTATAAGTTTTACTCGATTGGAGGCTCTTGGTAATCCAACTTAGGCTTCGAGGCTCCTGCCATTTTCGAAATGAATTATGTTATCGAAAAGTTTTTTTAAATTCAGAGCATTTTTTTTAAATTTATATTTTCGAGTGACTGATTTTTTTCAAAAACTTAACGTTCCTAGTGTAATTTTACTAATGCATATTTTTGATTTGGGAATATGAATTTCTGGGGTAAAACGACGATCCCCCATATCCCGGGGATATAGCTGTAATATAAATTCGAGAAATCGATAAGCGTCGATGAAAAAAAAATTCGATTGGATTTTTGAGTTTACACGTTCGCCGCGCAGCCTTGTATCCATTTGTCACAATGAGCTGTAAGGAACTCGTGACGTTACAGCTGCTTGTGGGTGGAGCCAGCATATAGACGCGATATATAGCACATTATAGCAATTACGCAAAATAAAGAAATGGCGTCCAGCCAAACTTTTCGGCCCAAACCAAACCGACGAGACGTCTCGAGACCCACGGACACTCGAGGATACCTACGTATAATAACGTGCTCCCTCGAAACAATACGGCGTCCTCAGTTTCCTATATCTCATTTGGCAGCGTAACTTCTCTTTTCACGAAAGCTACGCATTTAATTTTCACCTTTTCAACGTACAGCGACACACTCGACCACGCTTGTTTTCTTTATAATTTCTTTTACGACATATCCGCTATTTTAATATTCTCCTTCGTAATAGGGCTGAGTGGATTTCAGGATCAAAGTCGAAAAGTCATACCGAGTAATGACTTTAAGAAATAGTTAGCAGACTGCACGGTATTGCGTAACCTACCGTGTGTCATTTTAATCCTCGACCTTGAGGCTGCAACACCCAACTAGGCTTCCGGAATATTTCGTACCGATGTGGCTTCCTGCCGGTAATTTCACTATCAATCTCACGATCGTGGTTTGACGTACTGTTGTCAAATTATTTTTCATATACATATATCTAAGCTCGATGACGGAAATCGTCAAATATTTCGATCTTCATGGGAGAAAAAAAAAAGTATCTTGACCCGGTCCAAGTTGATTACGTGAAAATGAGACAGGTACGTCATTTATGACAATGTTGTTCACCCGATACAGAAATTAGACTCTGGGGTAAACAAATTGTTATCAGTGATTTATATTTATCTCTGTCTCTCTCTCTCTCTCTCTCTCTCGTGTAATTAACGAATCTCCCGAAGTTTCTAATACGTCGTTGTCGCGTTATTTTTGTCGGATATTCCTGTGACGAAAACATGTATTTCGGGGAATATTTCAGGTCACCGTAATTCAGCATGACGAAAGTCACGGATTTTCAATGACTTTATTTTTCTCATTCACCAATGATTCGAAATAGAAGTCACTCTCACGCTTGTTCTCACGTGCATCGTTACCGATCACCTCAGGACACGTGTCTGCGCAGAGGCACAGACGCGCATCCTGCATATTCATATACGAGGAGTCAACAAAGCTGTATGACGATTCGTGCTCTTTTTGAACGCCAAGATATTTGGACGTGTTTCCCTTTCGCGAGCATTGACGCAAGAAAATAATTGCGCAATCACGTTTTTGGATAAGATCCAAAAGGGGGGTGTGTCTATGCTTCACGAAACGATCTAGTCGAGGGGTCACCACTTGTTGAAATTGTTCGGTCATGTAATTAATAATTGTCGAAGAAGAAAAAAACAATTTTCATGCCTGTCCTTTGTTCGCTATTGCGCAACAGATAAGGAATCGTCGATAGTCTCGTAAGATATAAAAAATCTGTATCAACATTCGATAACGAGCTGCAAATGCTTTAGCACGGACGTCTCTACAGTCGGTACCCTGATTTCAGTGTATTTTGAATAAGGGACTTTTTACGTGTGATTTTATGGAAAATTTGCGACCTCCACGAAGGTCGAGCCGAGATAGGGTTTCATAAAATTCCACAGCAATAACACGTGCGCGACGACTCCGGGTGGTCTGGTGAAGTGGTAGGGGGTCCTGGGGGGGAGTCGTTCGATCGATACCCTAGTGCCCCGGTACTGCGTGGTCTTTTTCGTTACCCTATGGAGACCTAGCCCAGTCTCGTCCTTGACAAGGTCAATCCCTGGAACATTTCAAAACACCATTTGTCTCGATGCACGCAACGCGCATCGCCCGTCCACCCCCCACCCATCCAGTAGGACTACACTCGAGAGCGGGACGACTGACTAACCTCAAATGCTCAGTAACGTTTTCCTACGTTGAAGGGACAAAGGAGTTTACGAAATCGTCCACTCCGCTTTGATATATATATATATTGGAGATATCGTCCTCTTGTTTACAACGAATGCTGTTAATCTAACCTTACCATTTTCGATATCTGTTCTAACCTCAAATGTCGTATGGGGTTCTCCGATGTTTCGACGTTCAAATTTCGTTCGCATAAGCAGCTGCCGTTATTTAGATATACCCCGTGACTGTCGTGACTCATGATATTCTTAACCCTTGAATTTTTCATGGCTTTAATTTCCTACTGACGTGTTCGGCTACGCGGGTTCTGGATTGAGGACGGCCGTGTTTTTGCCGTTTGTGAATTTATTCGTATGGCGAGGTCGTACCACGTCGGTATACTCTATCGGGAAATAAGTGAACCTTATTAACTAAGGATAGACAGTACGTACAGATTGACAGTCACGTAAAAATATAATGCCCAGTCTAGCATGGGCATAGAATTAGGTCGGTTTATAGAGTGAATCCTCGCGGCGAGGAGAGACGATTCCCATCAAGATCGGTTGGTTCTAGCAGAAGGGATGCGGCGGTCACCGAGTCCCATGGATGTACTTGCTAATGGAATTGGGTACGAGGGTGAAGCCAAGTGGCCCGAGATCCTCAAGGTCATCTCCGGCGAGGGTGAGTTGAGTCTCCCTCTAGGCCGACATTGGATTACGTTTTTTTTTCTTCTTCTAATCAGTACATCTGTCCTGCTTGCCTCTAGCCGAGATTTGGACCGAAACGAAGAAATGAGATATCGAAATTTTGTTTCCTCGTTATTTTCTTCAAAATATCTTCGTTAAGAATCTTGTCTTTAGACTTTCAGCTGGAGAATGAGCCAGTGGCGGAATGATTTTTTTTTTTCAAAATGGTCCAAATTTCTGGAGAGTGAGTTAATAATGACTGGTGTTCTGTGTATAAGTTATATATATTATATATATGTAATATATATATAAAAGAAATATTAATCCAACCCTTTGGCTAGTGTGGCTCAATCTAATCCCTGCTGCTAGAACCTGCCTATCGGATGCCATAGATATTTGAAATAAGAGAAAGCACTGCGCGCGGCTGGGTTTATGTAATGAATTGTCATTATTGTTGAGAATTATTTTGAAATCAATTAAAATTGTCCGTATTCGTTTACGACGTTGAATACGTTTATCGTCGTTTACGTTACTGATTTTTTTTTTTTTCTTTCATGACTTCCAATTTACCTCTCAAGCTTACATAGACCGACTCTCGCTAACCAGAAATCTCTATCCGATGTCTGTCCCGTGAACGATGCACAATACAACAGTGGCGTAATAACTACTTCGTTGTCTGTACAGTAATAACCTTCTCGGTGGCCGTGAAATGTTTTTTTATCACAGCTCTTAAAACGCTGAAATTACTGAAAACGTTTTGGAGCGTCCTTACGAGAGTTGCCTATGAATTTTCAGTTTGTCATTTTCTTTTGTGACGTCATACGCTACCTTTAGGGTAAGCATAAATAAGCTGCTTAGTATAATTAGATGTATTTTAACACTGCATATCATAGCTCCGTACTTGACGTGGATATCAAAAAATTTTTCGTTTGCCTGTACCGTCTGCTAGACGCACTCACAATTCGTACAGACGTACAATTGATATTAATGCCGTTCAAAAGTGTGAAATTAATAACAACGTTAAATAATCATAAAATTCATTAACAATCGTCCCCTGTAACGTCGTGTTTCGAAGACGCTCCGTAGATTTTGAAAAATAATATCTAATTTCAATTGTGACACGTAACCTAGAAAATTCGTGAACGCGATCGAGTGACTTACGAAAATTATTAGATAACCGAACGTACCCGGCTCAAGGTGTTTCAGGGATGCTTCGTTCACAGCAATCCGATAATAACGACGAAACAGACTTTGGTTTAGCCATTGTTTGATAAACAATGTAAAAATAGAGTATCGGTAAGTACGGTGCCGGGTATCGGTTTGCTTCACTCGAAAATTCACTGATTCGCCTCGTCGATGATATACGAGGCTCGTGTTCGATCGGGTTTACATTTAAATTTCGTTTCTGATTTCGCGCTATTATGTTTTCTCTGTCGTTATTAGTAGGCTTTGATGTTTTTTATTTTATACTATTTTTCTTTTTGTCCCGTGACTATTTCCAGCCGGCAATTCGAAACACGCGCGACTACCAGACTCAAATGTCGCGTAACAAGCACCAAGAATAAGCTCAACGTCCCTAGGCAGCCACGTGTTTCGCTAACGCGAATACGTTTTTTTTCTTTCGTTTTATAAAATCCCGATAGCCATTGTCAGATTAATGTATTGTACTACTACCTCCTTTCGTTTAAAAATAGTGAACCTAGACTCAAGTTTGAGGGTTGAATATTGTTTGAATCTCTCGTGTACCTTCGGATCCTCCATTTTGTATGAATCGTATATAACGGGGATGCAGATTTTAATATTGATACATTGTTGGAATTGCATCGCGATGCAACAATCGCACGTGCAGTCGTTACTTGATTGACTCGTGAACGCTTCCGCCATTTTATTCTCCATTTAAAAAGCATCCAGGTCACGTGACGTCGTTGCTCCGCGCAAGTGATGCCGGGTAAATACGATTTAAACGTTGACTTTCCCTTTGGTAAAACTCTTTACGTGTTACACGATGCGAAAGCGTGATTTGGTGAGGACTTTGGAAAAGTATATGTATACCAATCAAATACGACAATAACTTACAATCTAGTGGCAACAATATCTGTCGGACTTTTATGACATTTTAGTTAGCCTAGATTTTGTTCATGAACGCCATCGGTGCCGCAGTAAATACGTCAACGTATATTTAATGCCGAGTAGCCATTTTCTTTACAATGTAGAATAATACTTTTTTTATATTTGTAAAGACACGATTTATCGTCCTCGCGCACAAAGGACCTTGCCATAATGTCGTTGTTTACGGCCAGTCATAAAGATTGTCGAATTTTATTTCCCTCAAATTATTTCTTCTCTTTCTCCATGTAACATGAAATAACGCGCACGCAGCATCGTCCAATACGTGACAAGTAAAGCAGTGACGAGCCAATCGCTGTTAAAATATAAAAACCTACTAGAATAGCATCGTAGAGCCTTATAACGTTTAATAAGGTATTTTAAAATTGGAGCAGATGCCCAAGTGCGCAACAAGCGTTGGACTTTATCTCTACTTGTTCTTCTTCCTTTTCTCTACACTTGAAAACCACCACATATCCTGTTCATGGTAATGTTTACTCTTTCGACGATGCTCGCTGATACGTATACTCTGTGTGTATTGCTTCTGGTTGAGACGCCTCTACTTACCTGTCGTCAGCACAATCAGACACCGTTACCAGTTGTGTCACGTCCGCTTGCCATTTACTTTATATATTATAAATAACATGAGATTTAATGTCAGGCAAAAGAAATTAATATAGTCTCCCTTGCAATTGTGTTTTAGCATTCAAGTTTCAAGAGAATCTACTGAGAACGATGATCCAAATAGAGAACACGTTCTTCCAACTGGGTGAGAGCTGCTCTCGAAATTGCCTTATTATCTGTGATCGTGGTGCCATGGACGCCTCTGCATGTGAGTATTCAAATGAGATCCTGGATCATCGTCCTGTGATCTCTGTCTAGATTCGTTGTTCGAAGGATTATGTATTATACAGAGGAGAAAGTAGAGGGTATACGTCTAGTATAGTGATATTTGGTATGGATGATGAATTATAGTTTTTCATGATGTTTTCAGTTATCTCGAAGGACAAGTGGGAACTGATGATGGCTTCTAACGGATGGAACAACGTGGAACTACGCGACAATCGCTACAACCAAATAATACACATGGTCTCGGCTGCGAACGGGGCCGAGGAGTTCTACTCGACGGAGGATCACGCTTGTCGCTCCGAAGGCGTCGAACTGGCTCGTGAACTTGATTACAATGCTGCTGCTGCTTGGGTCGGGCATCCTTACTTCGACGTGATAGACAACTCTCAGGATTTCGATAGTAAGATCTGTCGGATGATCGAGTGTGTCTGCCAGAAGCTCTGTATTGATACGGGCGACAGATTGAGAGCCAGTAGTCGTAAGGTCAAGTTCCTGGTCAAGGGACCTTTGCCACCGGACAGCGAGTTTCCACCCTTCCAGGACTTCGACGTGGTGCACAATTACCTGCAGAGCAAAACACCCAAGATGCAGGCGCGTTTACGTAAACGTGGTCAGAAAGGTAGGTAATTGGGGCTCGATGATTGGTGGTATTGTCATTCGTCCTTTACTGAATTTTATTTCTTCTGGTACAGGTCATTGGTCCTATATTCATACAATCAGACGACCCAAGATGTGTGGCCAAGTTGTGGAGGTCAAAACACAACTCACGCATCGTGACTATCTGAATATGCTAGCGCAACGCGATGACTCTCACTTCACTATATTCAAAAAGAGACGCTGCTTCCTTATAAACAACCAGTATTTCCAGCTGGATATATACAGGGAACCTGGACATCCCAGGTACATGGATATTACTTTAAATTTGGACCGAGCAATTTTCGGTTTCTTCTCTCTGGGAATAATGTGAATTTGTTCTTCTTCACTTCTCATACTTACAGGTGCAAAGGTTTGATGCTCCTGGAAACGTACACCGCTCTGAGTGGCGATGACCTAAAACGTATTTTACCACAGTTCTTAACAATCGAGAAGGAGGTCACAGGGAATCCGGATTACAGCATGTTCAATCTGAGTCTACGAGAAGAATGGAACAAGACAAATAAATACTGTCACACTCTGCATGGTACGTAAAACAATAATATATTCTTTTATACTGTCCTGACGACGAGGACTTCGTCGTCAGTCGTACTAACATTCAAAATTCATCAGAATTAATTCGTCACGCATTCACAATCTCTTCGTTTCACGATGATAAAAAAAGATTCACTGTAATTGACAAGGTGGACGTGCAGGCCATCATCAAAGCTTGGTTTCACTAGCCTGGTCTAAATACCTGCATTACCCTAATGGTCTAATACGATTTTCTCGGCTTCGATATAAGTTGCTTTTGGATTGTACAATTTACGCTCTTACAGGCTTGATCGAGAATACGGCAGCCGAGAGCAAAACCGAGGTGCGCGAAGTGAACGGCTCGACGCCGGAAAAGCACGCGAATGGAGTCGATAGTAGGGTTAACGGTGTAAACGGTTTAGAAAATGGTGTAAGCAGTCCCGTCAAAAATGGAGTGCATACGGCACTCTCCAACGGAGTCAAGCGTAATGGACTCGAGGAGGAGCGAAAGTGCTCCTCTGACATTGGCGAATTTGGTAGTCCCGTCAAAAAATTGGCTGACGGTATTCACGAGAATGATGGCGGATTGCATAGGAAGAGTCTGCAGAACGGTGTAAAGATATAACATTGGGGATAGCGGAGTTGACTACAGAAGCGAATACTTGCCTGGCTGATCGAAATCAAAGTATCGAAGCTAAACGTAGAAAGACAAACAAAAGTATCGGAAGCGTGAAGACAAAAAAAAAGAAAAATAATAAAGTATCGCGTTAGGCATTGGCAAATTATTTAGTTCCAGAACTGTTGAACCTCTTCACCCATTTTAGGCAATATTAGTATGTAAATTTGCATAGAGTATAAGGACTTTACTATCATTGTACGGAATGCATCGGCTAAGATGCACGTTTGCGATTTCCAATGAAACGGTGTAAACAAAAAATAGCATTGCAATATGTTTTAGCCAGCGTGTAGCCACAGAGCTAAGGCGGAATGCCAGTATCGTAAATTTTTCAGAAAATCACAAAATTTCAAACGCAAATATTTCCCTTGCTATGTACGCTATCCGCACGAACTTTTTTTTTTCATCCCTATCATTTGTTTCTTGCTCTACAACTTTTGCATTTAACTTTTTTTTCGATATCGCTTGAAATGGCATAGATAACTTTTTTTTCATTTATGCCCATTTGATGCACAATAAAAAAATATTAAATTAATCGTCACATAAGATTTTGAAAATCGCGCATACTTTCATCGCAAATCGCAAACGTGCTTCCTTAATTGATACACTCTGTATGTATGGACACGTATATTTTTTGGTTCCCTTATAAAATTCTTCACACCAAAATTTCGTCTGTATGTAAAACTTCGAAAGAGGCTCTCGTTAATATTGTCCGTCTGGTCCGTTTCCGTATCGTTCGGTTCAGCTCTTAATTTTCTGTCTCTCTATTTCGTCTCCGTATCTTTGTGTACTTAAAATCATTAGATAATTAACTGACGTCCGCTAGATGATAGCTCGACAGACAATGCCGATAACCGACACACCGAGTATTTTCATACTTTAAGCGAGGATGGTGAAAGGACAGAAAAGGGGAGAGAAAAAAAAAGGAACAAAAAATGAAACCAAGAAACGAACGAAAGGAAAATCAACTAGCGTTTATCGTCTTATGTACTTTATAACGTATTTTACCTGAAGTATTGTCTCGATTCTAATAGATAAGAATATATTATGAATGATTGTGATATAAAAATATATCTCTTAATGCAAAGGAAACATCCTCTTGGTGATGTAAAAGGAACACCATAGAAACATAAAGCGTCGCTGTGTATTGTGCTGTGTACTTATATACTATGCGTAGATCCTCCTCTCATCAGCGAGTATTCCGTACGACGATCGCTTAGCAAACAATGCGACAAACAAAGAATATCGTATAAACAAAATGACCAAAGTTTCGTAAAAGTCCTGCGTGTTTGAAATCGCCTATTAAGTACGTTCAATCATTTTATTATTACTATGAAGTCTCATGGGGAAGCGTTTAGATGCATAATTCTTAATTCATACACTGCGTCATTGATCTCATCAAGATGTCGATGCATTCTTCATTGCGCAATAAAAAAAAAAAGACAAATCGAAAAGCAAAGAGGTTCGAAGATCATGTACAATAAGGAAATGATTTCCTTCTAGCTCGCTACGACTGATCCTCGAGGCTGATTACCACGCTGCTCTTTATTTGGATCTTACGGGGAAGGATTTCCTAGACATATTCCAAGCTGCTGGCTCTAACGTATAAAGCAAACTGTTTACGACAAGGACTGAAAAAATCATTCGTTGCAAGTTTCACATTGTTATTCCAGTAATTAGCGTGGGTCCGTTATGCGTTATCGTTGTAGCCAACCACGATGCGATATGGGTAACGTAGATACAGTGCTTATATGAATTCTCAAAAGAAAAGATCCCTGTCATAAAATTCTCTATTAATGCCAAAGCGGGTTATAGTTGTAATTTTGTTTTTCCTTTATAAAAATTTAATTTCACATGAATACAAGATTATTATGGAGGACACAGATTAATGTGTCTTAAAAAGGGTCTATGGGGTATTTGAGAGAGAAAAAATTCTAAGCAGGATATTTCAATGGTGGTAAATTGTAGATTTTGAATAAGTGAAAGAAATATGTAACAAGTGTTTCTAGAGAAGATATTTATATATGCACATCTGGTGAAGTTGATAGAAAAAAAAAAATGAATTATGCGAAAAATAACATGTATATAAAAATATGTTAAAAGCAATAAGACAAATCTTTCACTATTTTCGATGAAAACGGGATATTAGTTCTGAGTCGTTAAAGAATTTGATTTGCTTGATTTTCACCAAATTTATTTGTATCTTTACGCTCTTCATGGGACAGGAAGTTAAAAGACGTGGGAGATCCTTACACGCCGAAGAGAACGAGATATTTCTTAATCAATTAATTGTATATCGACTATTACGAAGAGAGAATTTTCGCGTTTATTTACTTCACGAAAAATATTTCATCACGGACTTTATCCCCGTTCCCGACACGAGACAAAGTGCCTGTGAGATATTCAGATGCAGAAGAGCGACGAGGAAGTAAGAGAAGAGAGAAAAAAAGATTAAAATATATTTTAAAAGGAACCGATGCAATAAGAAATTATCGGCGCACTCGGTCATCTCATAAAATTCAAATCAGTCTGACTTCAGAATGTACCTACGATCAATAAATAAAAATTGTCACTTGCCTGCAATTATTTATTTATATATTTCTATGTTAAAAACCGTTAAATGTAAATAGAAGCAGCGCAAATATTTCAAATATCGTGGAAAGAAGACCTGAAATTGTTTCAACAAGGAGGTAATGAATATCCTATATGCACTTATAAGTATATTACAATAGTTGTATACAGGCATATTTTATAATAATTTATTTATTCAGCATGTATAATTACATAATTCTCTCAATGGACCACGTGGAAGAAAACAACCCTTTGCTCAAAAAAAAAAAAAACTATGTTATGGTCAACCATTTACAATGATTTGTTTCGACAATATAAACCGTAGAAATAAATGAATCGAAAAACTTACAATTATCATAACTGAACATAATAATATGATGATCTATTATATGGTTTCCACGATTTAAGTAAATACCATGCGGTACCTGAATAATAAACAGATAAATACTGTGGAACATCTAAACTCAACAGTGTCTTCTTATCCCAAAAAATGATACACAGGTTTAATCTTACATCCCATAACAGTTGTTGGAAGTTAATCGTTGATTTGTTCAAATCTAGACTTGCAAGATATATATATATATATATATATATATATATATATATATATATATATATATATATATATATATATATATATATATATATATATATATATATATATATATATATATATATAATACATATAATTATATAGTACACTTCCCAAAGGCTTATATAAGTAAATGAGAAGCGCCAATTAGACACGATATACATATTCATTGTACTCTTGAAAATTTGACCTCGTTATCTCTTATGTTATTTCTAATCGACTTCGCGTATCCTGTTTATCATTCTAATTACATTTATATTTAATTATTATTTCTCAGAGAACGTAACGCGCAGGAACACTACGTTAAATCATTATACTCGTCATCTCCCTCTGACTAGGTTCTGCAGTCGTGCCATTTTTAAAATCTTTAATCCATCATCTTTAAATAATAAGCGCACCAGCCTACTGCATCCTGCTGATTTTTTCACGTAATCTCCTGAGTGAGTTTAATCTCACAGCGTTCGGATTGGCGACGACGCTTTAAAGAATATCCGGCAAGAATTTCAATTGTATTAATGTATGTTGTGTAACATGCTACTGAGAGCTGTCAGATGGACGGCTTTAATTATTTGCCAAAACGAAAACGAAACAGAACGAACAATCTGAACAATAACCTGAGAACACAAAATTATTTGGAAGAGACGGCTATGTATTAATTTTCATTAATAAGAGCACGCTTGATATTGATTTGATCAATTGCTCTGCGGTTTCGCTGGTCGAGGTCTTAGCTCGTATAAATATTCGTTATCTATAGTATAACATTGCTTTTTGTAAAAAGTTACGTACGACTATGGAAGTATAATTATAAATAGTGTATATTAAATGTCCTAGAGACATTATGTTTATAATGGACACGTTACACTTAGATTCTTACTTGCTACTGGTTGCCTTTGTATCTGTTTTCTTTCTCTGTTCATACAAATTTCAGTTTCTTCCAATATCACTTGTGATGTTTTAGCAGCGACGAGATTCTGGTTGTTATAAGAATTTGATAGTTAGAATTCTTCGTACTTAGACACTTTCTTTACGGTTTATCTTTTATTACTTGGAATATTTCTTGTTGTATATACGGGTAAATTAAGTTGAAGCTTCATTAAGAATTTTATGGATGTCTCGTTATGATGGAATATTAATAAAATTGGAAAACATTGATATTTCATTATGCCGCTGGTTGCGCAGAGTAGTTTTGCTTTGTAAGATAGAAGAATTTGTATTCCGAGTGACGTATATTAGTTGGGCGAATATTCATAGAGATTGTTGTGATTCATGGATTTGCCTCTTTCTGGAGTCTTGAGCTTTGTACAGGTACAATTCATGCCGGATGAAGACTACGTGAGGCTTGCACGATTCTAAAATCTACTTCTTTATCTTTACTGTCTTGATACTCACAGCACTTACTATCACTGAACAGTCTAACTTGCAGTGAAGCAAGAGCCATCGTCGTTGAAATTTGTATAAGATTCGTTACGCCTCCCTGTGATTACACCATGGAGGTCTTAGGAAGAAATAAGACTTCATAAATATATACCAACGAAGAAAGATTATCCCTATACTTTTTTCTAAATACTATCGAAGTAGTACTGATGTAGTATAATATAGAGCACACGTTTCACGCGAGAAACGTTAATAAGTTATATAGCCGATTTATAATTTGCAATTTGCTTCTCTATAGGCCTGAGTACTTGATATATTTATCTGCCAACAGCTTTGGCTTGCTGCGTCTTATACATTTTTAACACTTTCTTACCCGGCACTAAAGTTTGAGTTAGTCCTGGTCTCTTTTTACGTTTCTGCATTTGATTGTTTTCCTGATCCACTTCATCTTCCTCATTTCCTAACATCTGACCGTTATTATACAATGTCTGGCATATTATGGTCTCCTGTGGTGTTCGGATGGCTTCTAGATCGGCTGCAGAACGATGCAGATCAGAGTCATGTGCAAATGTACAATTGTGACCAAAGCGACAACGACCTTTCCGGTAATTCCAGCATATTTTCCGACCATTAATCATTTTTGTATCATCCAGTGTTGGTGTCATCTTCACGTGTTTCTCTAGGATGGCGCTCTTGGCCTTTTCGGCTTCGACAAATGGATTTGAGAAGACAGAAGTCTTGAGAGTTGGCGTGCTGTTGAAATCTGGTGTAGGTAATGGAAGCTTTTCATTGGAAGCTGATTCTCTTTGGGTCTCATCATCGATTTCACGATCTTCCTCGTCCTCCTTGGAACTGAGAGTTAGGCAATATCAGATTACAAAGAATAAGTCCAATCTTACATGTATCTAACGACTGTGATCGATATACATAAGAACAACACTCTAATACTCTATTATTGTTATATCATTGTAAGCTTAGAGTCACAAAGATGTTAGATGTGGTCCATATAATTTTATGACACATAAACCAACATTGCAAATATAACACGAATATTATAAGACTATTTCTTCAGTGTGACATGTGTCTCAAACAACTTTCCCATGCCATATTGTTAATGGACCTAGAGACGTACTTGTCAATATGACAAGTATCTGTAAATTATAAATGCTAGTTGTGTATAAAAATGAATTTGTTACAACCTGCGCGCGCGTACATGGCGTGCTTGACGGGTTAGGTAGGGAAGCATAAATAGCTACAAGCAGCAAATATTATAATTGTCTTTTAGCATAAACTTACATATTGTCGTTGTCATCGGAGAGCCCGTCTGTATCGCTTTCTGAGCCAGAAGAGGTCCCGTAATCCGCAACCAGGGAAGCCATCGCACTTACCAATTAATTAACAGAAATTACTAACAAACACTAATCTAATATAACCACCATAAATTGTTGTGCTATTCGAGCTATCCGGGTCAGGCCGATATGACAACGTCGCAATGCGTCATAATGCAGCGCCGGATGTTCACGTGGATATTAAACAAACTAAGAGCATCGAACCGCGTTCTGTATACAACGGGTGTTTTCATAAAAATAATACCGTTCTATAATTTTTATTTGCATTCGAAATAAACTTATTATAATAACAACACACAATAAAAATATCAAATTGTTTTCACTTATTTCCATATTATAGGAAGTAATAGAAAAAATCGGAGAACTGTACAAAAATATATAATCACGTAGTCCGATCATTATTTTTTTAAGATCAATGGAAGCTTCTGAAATAATATTTATACACTGTATTCCATATTAGTACTTATTATCAGATAACACCAGCCGTGGTAATATTCACAATACAGAACGAATTAAGTTTCAATTGAAAGCTCTTCCACACACTGATTTTTCTAAATTCCTTTTCTTCCTTCTGTATCATTAATCGAGTATTGGGAACATGCAGCCAATATTTTCCAAGACTTGGTTTTATTACTATGGGATTTTCATTACTTGCTGCAAATCCGTCGACTTCCCGCCATCGGCTTATCAAATTCACAGTGATAAGCGGTATGTGAAAGCTGTTCGCAAGACATCTTGATATATTTGATAGATTATTTAAGGCGGAGGCCATCTCTTGCACTGTCGGCAATTGAAGAAATATCGCCGCCACTGAGTCAATGATAACAAGTTTCGTGGGATAGCTATCATTGGACGTTTTTAATGACGAATTTAAATGATATAAAATGTTGAATAATTCGCATACGTTTTTTACCCGCGTTACTTTTATCCGATCCATTGCCTCACCAATTTCCTAAAAACGGAATACATATATATATATATATGTATATATATGTATATCGTCTTAAACAAAAGGAATATCAGATGAATAACAAGTTTGACATATACCGCATCCGAATATTTTTTTGCTTCCAAAATCCTTTGAATTCTCAGCGCTGAAAAATCTCGTTTGGTGTCAATATAATGTACGTAGGATTTGGTACTTGATGTAATATTTGCTGCAACTGTATGGCACAATTGAGTTTTTCCGGAAGAGGAAACTCCACATATTTCATATAAATGTCCAGGATGCAATCCTCCTTTTAATAAGTCATCCAAGCTGTAATCAACATTTTATTTGCATATTCTTGTTGTATTAAATTAAACTTATTAAATATAAGTATTACCTAGTTATACCAGAGGGAACAATATTGGTATATTCTATTTTCATTAATTCAAACGCATCTTGCACCTGACCACTGAAGGATTTTGCAATTGTTTTCTTGAATTCTAGTACTTCCTGCAAATAAGAAAAAGTGATTGGTTACCCAATAGCACCGCTGCTTTTTTCATGATACGTATTACCATGAAAATATATCATAAATGCTATTGAATGGCTTTTTAAAATAAAACGTGTAATAGTAAATGTTAAGTTATAAATATACATAATGTATAACTTACTTTGTATGAAAAGTCTGTGATCTTGATTAACTTATCAGGATGTTCCGACATAAAATTAAAAACCGTAAAGATCTTTTTAGCCTGAAGACGCAACACGATTTCATCAGTTAATTTTGGATGCATGCTGGAATCTAATCTTGCCATTGCCCCCTGAATTTGCTGTGTTGACTAAATACGAATCCATTCAGCTCGTCCACCGTCACCAATTAGATGCTTTTACTGCACAAATGTAAATATTCAAATTGAATAATCAAAGAATTTTCCATTTTTATAATTTACAATTTTGCAAAAATTGAATCTCTATTATTAGTCACACGACGCTCTGTCGAGCACGAATATTTTATTGAGTCTATTGCGCCTCTAAACGGAAATCGGTAATTTCACGTCCAAAATTCAAATCGTTATCAGGTATACTACGTGGATCAGTACGAACGTTTGTAGAACCCGTAACTGCCCGTAACCAAAAGATGATGCGCCGAGTACTGAAATGACCCTAGCGTCATTCATTGAATCGTACCGCGTGGATGGTGGATCGACGGAAAAAATAAGAGGGAAAGTGCTACTTGAATTTCTCTTGGAAGCGTTCGATACTCACATCGAACATGGCAACGAGCTGTACGGTCGAGTCTCTGCAAGGTTTCGTTGCTGAGGCTAAAAACGAGTTTTACACGTGGTCCTTGGTGAGGGCATTGCGCGCTTGTGTTCGCTAGTCGTAACAATTTTGTGAGCGGAATGTACCTAAGCGAAAATCCATATGGAAAGCGTTCAGCCTGCTGGATCTCAAACCCAGTGTCGAGGTGAGTTCTTCAATTTTCTATATCGTAATTGTATTTTGAGAATTCGTAAAAATGTACTTTTGATATCGGCACAGCGTGCCACGTGCGTGGTTTCATACTTTATGGCGGCCATGATCGGCTCAGAATTGCAAGATGATTGGAGGTTATGTATTTGTATAAGGGGTATAAAGATCAAGGCGAAAATATGGTTATTCAGTGAAATATAATTATTTAATTTTATATGAAGCGAGGATGGCTTAGAAAATGCTAACGAAGCTTCATGGTAATCGATTGGATTACGTACTGCCTCAGATGTTTCTGTAAAGGAAGGATTACTAAGCATGACTACATATACATATTGTGTATATATATATATATATTCTTTCTATATATTTTAATATATTTCGTTAACATGGCTTGTTTGCCAAATATGTAGTCGCTATATATGGCAATATGAAAGATCTTGTAATGTTCTGATGATAATATGTCCTGTAGAGGCATATAGAGTTAAAATTATATTTTTGTGGAATGAGAGGCATTTTGAATAGATCGAGTTAAACAAAATTAGTGAATAATATAAGAAATGATAATTCGTAGACAATTTTTATTATACATACATATGGATTTGTCCCCGTAATACACGCTTGAATTCAAGGCTGCTTGGTCATGAGTTCCCGTAGTTTTAGGAATTCTATTCTCTTTTAAGCGACGGACATTGATATTCCATTAAATAAACGTTTCAAAGATTATATCGACATACATTATCATATATACATCACCTAGCGATAGTTGCTCTGTGTAAGAAATAAGTGGAGTCCTCGTCTTGATACTTTTTATAGCTATGTTAAATAAAGATTTGAAAAGATCAGTTATACTATACGCGATTTATACGTATCATCAGGAAAATAGTATGGTAGAAGTTTTTACGTCTTTAATAATCATTGTCTATGAATCAGCCTTCAAAGGTCGCCATGATGTATTTTTCGTCCAGCGTTACTCGAACGTAGTGTTATTTAAGGTCGATTTTTATTCTAAATTTCGTGCCCTAATTTTGAAATGACGATTTATAGAGTACAGAAAAAGAGAGAAATACATAAAAATATAATGCTGCACAATGCGAGGGTTGCTGATTTGATTCGTAGATGTTCTATGCACCCTTTTATTAGTTTCACTTTTGACCAATGAAGTCGCTCACTCATGCCACGTTGCCAAGCGTCTGTCTCGACCCGGCCAATCCGGGAACCGGATCCCAGTAACAGCGGCATCTCCCAGTGGCTTCCATAAGCATAAACGAGCAGGCAGCTCTCGGCCTGGTCGCTGAGGAAATTTGTCGGGAGCCGTCGCCATGTTTAGAAGTGTGTGCGTCCTTGAGCGAACCGAGCGAAATGTTCCGTAAAATATTAGATATAGCTCATGTGCTGAATATTACGTGAGGTACCTAATTACGGTTCGACGTACGCCAATCGCGAGGGTGACGTTCATTTTCGTGGATGGCTCACCTACGTCGCAGAATTTTGTGATTACATTATGGTAAGTCCGCCCTCGTATCGGGCCAACGCCAACATGGCGGACGAAAAATTTCCTTTGTATCGTTGCGGGTCTCTTACTGATGCAATTGAAAAAAATTAATATTTTGAGAAATGTTCCCTTATTAAATTATCTGCTGGTTTACCATAATCGCCGAAATTCATCGTAAACCTCGTGACATATTGAAATATTTATATTTCGCGCATTATTCAGTGTTTTTTACAATGGTATGATATGAACGCCCAAGAGTGTCCGCACCTAGGAGCCCGCGAAATTCCACGTTCTCTCGACACCTGAAATGACATTGCTTTTTTCGGCGTACATTCACTCGCGGAAATCACATCGTTACATTCATTACTTTCCATTTGGCGATCATCGGTCGCTTATTGGGTTCACTCGTGGAAATTTACATCTCGTTACTGGCAACAGTTCATTCGGCAAGCCTTTTGATTTCGGCGCTTTTTCTCGAATCAGATTACGTTCCCAGAGGCGAGACACTTCAACGCTAAGTGCCGCTCTACGGACACATCACGGAATTCTCTGCGTTTTATTAAATTTCTCATTTTTTTTCTTTTTTTTTCTTTTTTTTTCTTTTTTTTTACAAAGATTATACTCTCACTGCCGTTAGACAATACTCTATTAAGGGAAACTGGTATGCGTGTCCTGTAACTTTGATATCTGTGTCTTCAAACTTTAACTCGAAAAGGAAATTTCACGTATGTTGCTTGGACAGTCATATCCTAGTGTCAATTGTTTGTATTTGTGTTTCAATGTTTGTTTTATAATGAAAACGGTATATCCAAAATTCTTACGTGTGATTTGGAGTAAGGATTTTAACATTTTTTACCTTTTGTAATTTTTAATTGTATTTTGTTCCTTTCTCTTTTTTTTTTTTCCAATGACCTTATGGTTATCTAATAATTTTTTTTTTTTAAATTCATTTAGTATCCTGGTTGCTTGTGTCATTTCTTTTACATTTATTTTTTGTTACAAAATGTCTAGTGGTGTTATACACGTGGATTGTTGTTGAATGTTATATTTTTTGTTTGTGTTTCAGTGTGATGTGTAATGACTGATAAGCAGGGCGTGCCTAATTTACCGCCCCTTGCCGGGGGCGGAGGAAATAATGAGGGAAGCAACGGAGGTGCAACCCAGCAAACAGTCAGTTTGCAACAAGTTCTTGCAAGTGCTCAGGGTCTCAATGTACTCACAACGGGTGGTGGACAGCAGTTTGTTATTACATCGCAGGTTCCTGGTCTCACACAGGTTATTATCCAGAATAAACATACTAAAGACGTAACCTCCTTTCAATATTATTAACTTTACTTTATATTCTTGATGCAAATGTTTATCGCATCTATTTTAAAGTGACTTGATTTCTTTTTTTTTTTTTACCCAACCTGACATATTGCAGATGTTTACTATTTGCCTTAATATACTTTTGTTTTATATTGTTGTAATGAATATCTTAAGGCCAAACTGATGACTATCATACCGAACATGAAAGTATTGATATCCATTCAAATCATACTTTTTGAAAACAATTGAGGCATTTATCTGATACTTTAAAGTAATATGACAGCAATGTGTTTTTTAAGTAGCATTTGTTGACATAGAATTCTCTAACCACCAGGTTATACCAAGCAGTGTTACAACAAATGCAGGCATCCAACAAGTTGGAGTTACGAGGATCGTTAATATCGGCGGCTCCTCGCCACGTGTTAACGTCGTCGGAGTAGCAGGAAGTAGTGGTTCTCCGCTTACCTCTCCAACACGTCAAAATCCAACAGTCGTGTTAGCCACTTCCCCGAAGTTGATGCGTACATCGGTGGGTAACCTGTTCGTGACCCCAACATCGCAAGCTTCAGTGCAGTCACCGCCTGCTAGGAAAAGACTGAGACTCTCGGAATCAACAGAGAAACCAACCGCCCTGGACGACACGGTTGGCTACAGGAGACGCATCATGGAGCATAAGATGAAAAGGATGCGTGCGATCCGAGAGAAATATGCGGAGAACGCATCTGAGCTCTTTTTTCTACACAATGGGGGAAACATGATGGATTTTCAAACCTGGCGAAAGCGATCACCGACTCCTCAGTACTTGCATTTTTTGAGACAACACAGACTAGATCCTGACGACGATGATGAAGATCTTACCGTACCCTTACCGCCAATATCCGAAATCCCTACGTCGCCCACCACTACAATAGTTTCCTCTACTGCTCCACTGAGTCAAGGTACAGAGGTGAAGATTTCAGGCGTCGGCGTGACTCCTGTCGCCGTGTCAACCACTTTGCCAGCTGCCGTAGCTCAACTCAGCCAACAAGGTAAGCTCATTAAAATTCATCACTGCATTCACACTCTTGATGAACATTCTCCAAAGCAAAGGAGTGTTCGCTGCTTTGGATTCGAGTACGTGTTTCAGTGTTTCATGTGTGATATAATCATATGCTAGGTCTCTAGCTATAGATAGCAGATGTCTCGAGTGAGATACTCCTATGACAATACATGACATTATCGCACTGTTCACTGTGAATCGCACGATAACGTAGAATAAAATCTATCACCATGCACATACTGAATCACTCATTTGCGCAATAGGACAAGTACCAGGTAGGCCTCAAGGTGGTCGTCACGGCATGATCTTTGCCATCCGAGCAGCCATTCAGTCTTCACCAGTGACCGCTCACCCTACACCCACTTCTACTATAATAGCACCCACGCTCATTATAGGTGATTACCGTAGGCCCGTCATTCAATGTGTACATCATTCTTTTATTCATTTATACCTTTTTAAACAGTTCGGTAATCCCTTTGTCGAATGGTAGTCATTAGACGTCAGTGAAAATATAAACTTTTTCGGTGTCACAATTATTAATATCTTATATTATAATTTCAATCGTTAAGGACTGCCTTTGGCTATTTATCATTGCATGTACTTAGATCCTTGTTAATTATTTTTCTTTCTTTTAGTCGCAGTAGATCTGTTGCACCTGCACTCTTCTGAACGAATCAAGCTTTTTTCTACTGGATGTTCTTTGTTTCAGAGATTTATGTTATTTTATATGAATGATTTTCAAATTCTATGCGATTTTTCATAGAATTCTATACAATTTTCCAATCGAAATTCTATTCGATTGACCTTACCAATAATGTAACGCATGTGCTATTCATTTTTCACAGTTTAGTGATGCATTCAGGTTAGATCCATAATTCAACTACATTTAGGATATTGAATATCAAAGTCTAGTTATAAGAAATAACACGCAGTTTGATCGTCAATAATATTTAAGATACATTACGTGAAAGATATTAATCTTCATTCGAATTAAATAAATCGTTCAGAGATCGTCAGTCTTTATCCCACCATATCATCGTATCGCTGTTACGTATTATATCGATTGTGTAGATCATACCGAGTCGTACCCCACACAAATAAGCCGGCTGTTTCGATGATTTCATATTTGAACAGCGTGCTCGTTGTGGGAACATTAAAACCAAGCGTGTGTATGGCCTTTTAGTCATTAATCTATGCGGCCAAAGGAAAATCTCGGTTACAGTTACTCCAGTAATTAAGTATATATGTAAAATATAACAAACGGTAAAGTTACATATAGTTCATTTTACGAACTTCGTAAATTTCAATTAATTGCTGTTATCACGTAGGGACCAACATATATTAATAAACCGCAGATAAGGAAAATTCTAGTGTACGACTGTTTACGTTTAACTATATGCACATGTAATTTCTGCTTGTGAAAACACCTAGTGCCTATATTGATTAATGCAGTTATACCCGTTTATGTTTTTCATACCTTTTTAGTGGTTACTGTACCACGGGAGTATCACTATTTATAAAAGTTATTACGTCTGTAAAGTAACAAAAACGAAAAGTCACAATGCATCATTAATGTTTCAGGTGGAACACCCATAGTTCCAGATCCACCCAAATCTGTTCCCACCAGTGTACCTGTAAGTCCTGTCGCTGACAAACTTCCAGCAGCAAGCACATCGGGCAAGCCTCCTAAACCTTCCTCGACGCCTGTTAATGCTACGACGCAACCTGTAGTTAAACTTGTGAAGTTGCCGACATCAACAGTGTCGTCCTGTGATACTCAAAATCTTCAGGAACAAATTGTAGAGAAAGCGAAGCAGGTAACGATTTTCTTTCATTTCTCTTTTCCTACATCCCTGTATTTTTTTTGGCTTTTGGTCACTTAGTATAATTCCTCAAATTGAGATGATTATGCAATTTTTCTTTAATGTGGTTTTGTTCTCAGGAAGCGTACGTGATGCAGAGGATCACAGAACTTCAACGTGAAGGTCTCTGGTCTGAACGTAGACTGCCAAAGGTCCAGGAGCCTTCAAGAACGAAAGCTCATTGGGATTACCTACTCGAGGAGATGGTTTGGCTCGCTGCGGATTTTGCCCAAGAACGCAAGTGGAAAAAGGCCGCAGCAAAAAAGTGCGCAAGGATGGTGCAAAAACATTTCCAAGAGAAGGCTATTCAGGCACAAAAGGCTGAGAAATCCCAGGAACTCAGACTCAAGAAGATCGCTGGGTTTGTTGCCAAGGAGATCAAGAACTTCTGGACTAACGTTGAGAAGGTTTGTCTTTATATATATATATTTTACTTTCTCTTCTAAATATTATTTTACCCCACACAATTAAGCCGACATTTTCGACGTCTCATGGTTGAAAGTGTGTGCTCGTTGTAGGAACAGAAATTCTTAACTAGTGTATGGCTGTCTTGATTATCGATTCAGCCAAAGGACGTTTCGATACAATAGAATATCTCATAAAGTGACGTATGTTATTTTTTGTGCGCTATTACAATATTTATTGAAAAGTTGAACAATGCGTTATAAATATTCAAAATCTTTATAATGAAGTAAAAAGTAATTACTTTGTATACAAAGCTACGTCAAACTAGTCGCATATTTTAAATCGAGATATATTCAGATAACCTAGGAGGAATTCTAAAAAGTCAACATAAAGATAGAAGATGAAAGGGTTTTGAATCTCTGTTATCTGTACTTTCGCACTTTATGTTGCTCCAATAATAAATCTTATGATTCATATTTATATTTTTTGTTTCAAGCTGGTGGAATATAAGCAACAGGCGAGGTTGGAAGAGAAAAGAAAAAAAGCGTTGGATCAGCATTTAAACTTCATCGTTGGCCAGACGGAGAAATATTCTACGTGGCTGACGGAGGGACTCAACAAAACTGACGGCGCTCAGAGCGTCTCTGCCTCTATGAATAGTTCGAGAATTTCGTCGCCGGTCCCAGCTGGAAAGCACAATTCTGACGGTGAGTCTTAAAATATGACACAGTGTAGAATCTTTGTCGCAAGATAGTCTAGATTGAAAGGAAGTAAATTATATATTTGGAATTTTCTGTTATTTTTGAATTGTAGACGAGTTTGAACCAAACCAAACTTCAGACGATGACGAAGAGACGATAGCGAAGGCCGAAGAGGAAATGAAGTCGAATCACAAGGAGGAGGTGGAATTGTTGAAGAAGGAATCGGAATTACCTCTTGAAGATCTCTTAAAGGAGCTACCGCCAAATTATTTACAAGAGCGGGATAAGAGTTTGTCTCCAGCGCCTAAAGAGACTGTTGAAGAGGTATGCTGAAGTGTACAAAAATATGTATCACTAAGGAGATCAGATTTTGAACTAGATTAATGATAGCATGTGGTTTCTGCTTTCAGGAAAATGAGAAGTCTGTGGATGGTGATGCGGAATTTACAGTGGCTTCTGAGGAATCTTCGGATGATGAAGACACCATTATGGAACAAGAGAAAATGGAAGGAAACGATGATCACAGACAAGAGTTGGATGAGCTCAAGGTAGCCTATATATACGTATATCTCATGTCTTTAGTCAAATTTTCCATCAGACAATAATCCATTAGCTTGACTATGTCGTTGACGAAAATCTTTATATTTATCTAAATTTGATTTCAGGCTGAAAATGAAATGAGCATTGATGAACTAATGGCGAAATACGGTAATATACCAGAGGCGCCAATGGACATTGATGGAGATATGGAAGGAGGTACGTATTTTTGTAAAATAATAAAAAAATTCTTTTTATCTTTGAAAAACAATGATGACAAAATACCGAATCTTGACGGTGCGAGATCCATTCAACTCAATCCATCTCCTTGATGAAATTGAGGCATTTGCCTGACAGTGTGTTAGGATTTAACGAGATTCGTTTTTGTATACCTCGTCCTTATACATTATTTTAATTCTTTTGTTCAGAATCTGGTAAAGAGTCTGAAAAGGAGGAAGAAAACGAACACGACGAGCAGACGGAGAGTGAAAGTGAAAGCGAGGACGAGACCAAGGACGAGGATTCGCAGACGCAAAGCGATGACGAAACTGGCGTCGGTCTGAAATCCCTACTTGAGGATTTGTCCAATGAAAAACCGACAGAAGATAATAAGGTACGCATTAAATTATCACAGAATACATTATAGTTGGCTCCACCACACAATATATACATATTTGGCTTCAAAATCAGACTATTTTAACAAATGGAATATAACCTATTTTCGACATTTTACCGGGTGCAGTAAAACGATGCAAAACAAATATCACGTTAAAGATGTTCTAAACTTGAATTGATTACACACAATGTTATATGTTTTATATTTCATTTTTTTCGTTAAACAATTTTGGAATTTAATTTCGCGACTCAACCATTCAAACTACTTGTTGTATTTATTAGTTATTTAGGAGTTAATTAACTGTATTATTTCAGAATACCACTGTAGATCAGTCTGATGCTCATAATGAAATGGACGATGTTGCTGCATTGGCGGAGAGTATACAGCCTAAAGGAAACACGCTGCTTACTACTAGCGTAAGAATTTTTTGTATATGTATTTAGTATTTTTGTAATACTTTCATCAATAGTCTCAGTCGTGTCTTATGTGCTGCTATTCGCCAAAGACCATAGGGATTAATTAATCAGTTTAAAAATACATAGGTTACATACATATAAATTATATAACGTTCTCAATATTTTGATTACAGGTTGTGACGAAGATTCCTTTTCTCTTGAAACACTCTCTTCGAGAGTATCAGCATATAGGATTGGACTGGCTTGTTACGATGTTTGATAGAAAGCTCAATGGAATACTGGCTGATGAGATGGGTTTGGGAAAGACCATACAGACAATTGCTCTTTTGGCTCACTTAGCGTGTGAAAAGGGAAATTGGGGTCCGCATCTAATTATCGTTCCCACTTCGGTGATGCTCAACTGGGAGATGGAATGCAAGAAATGGTGTCCCGGATTTAAAATTCTTACGTACTATGGCACACAGAAAGAAAGGAAGCAAAAAAGGACTGGTGAGTAAAATAATATTTATCTTTGCATTTTTTTTTTTGAATTTTTCATGCTGGGATTACATGATGATAGTATACAAAACACATAAGGCGCGAGACCCATTCAGCTCAACCCTAATTTGTGATGAGATTGAGGCATTTGTCTGATTTTCTTTCAATTATAAATTAAATTGATTCAGTTAGTTACAGTTTTTAGCAAAAAAACGATTTCTCGGCTTTACATTTTAGGTTGGACGAAACCAAATGCTTTTCACATATGCATCACGTCTTATAAGCTAGTGATTCAGGATCATCAGAGTTTTCGTAGAAAAAAATGGAAGTACCTGATCCTTGACGAGGCGCAGAATATTAAGAACTTCAAATCGCAACGATGGCAACTGCTGCTGAATTTTCAGACGCAACGGTAAATTAGTCAATTTGTAGTTACTACTTATTCTTTTTGCCCAGTCAGTGAACGAGGAAGACTTATTGTTCGTCTATTTTTTTAGGCGGCTGTTACTCACAGGAACTCCACTACAAAATAACTTGATGGAACTTTGGTCCCTGATGCACTTTCTTATGCCAAACGTGTTCCAGTCTCACAGAGAATTCAAGGAATGGTTCAGCAATCCCGTGACAGGGATGATAGAGGGAAATAGCGAGTACAACGAAAACATTATACGACGTCTTCACAAGGTCTGTACGTACTACTTTTCTGTACACTCACAATCGGGTTAGAAAATAAATCCGCTGCCGACAACAGATACGTGCGACAACCAAACGCCGTAGCTGTCTTATTTATAATCAGCGGTATAATAAAGTAGTTCTTCATTAAAACTCGTGTGACAAAAGTGGAAATCATATGGCATGCGAATCCTGTCTGAAGAAACAAATAAATAAATTTTCATTAATAAATGTAGTACAACTATCACAAATTGCCAGTTCTATAAGCATACCGTTACAATATTAGATTTATATTAATTGAGAATCTCCAATTTCAGGTCTTGCGTCCATTTCTCCTCAGAAGGTTAAAGACAGAGGTTGAGAAACAACTGCCAAAGAAATACGAGCACGTTCTCATGTGTAGGCTGTCTAAGAGGCAGAGGTTTCTCTATGATGACTTCATGTCCAGGGCCAAGTAAGCATTAACGACAATGACTGTGGCGCTATCTTTTGCCAATAACTGCTAAAGTTTTCTTGTATATACTTTCAAAGGACAAAGGAGACCTTGGCTAGTGGCAACTTATTGAGCGTGATCAATGTCTTGATGCAATTGCGTAAGGTCTGCAATCATCCAAATCTCTTCGAGGTTCGCCCCACTGTCTCTCCCTTTCAGATGGAAGCCATTGAATTTGTAACTGCATCCTTGGCGTGGAGTGCTCTTGATTATGATCCGTTCAAGGTAGTTATTATATACCGATCGGATCAATAGACCGTTTCAATTGGATATGCCTAACTTAACGTTTTTATGTTTTAGCATATCGATTTGTCTTGCTTGAATCTTCTGTTAGTTGATTTGGAGCTTACTCTCACAGCCTTTGTAGCACATCGAATCAGACGATTGCAAACGCCGCGGAAATTAATTGAGGAAATCGATAGCTTACCGGATCCTCCACCACGGTGTCCCTCTGGCAAGATTAAAATCAACGTCAGGTTGTCAAATCAAGCCAAAGCACCGCCAGTTCCCCCGCAACAAGCTCAGGCTAAATTGAAAAACTTGGCTGGGATATTGCCAACGCCCAGAGTGGGTACTTCACCGCTTATCAAATCTCTCAACAACCAAAGTACGCCTGGACAAGGTAAGTAATTTATATCATTATTTTTTGTAGAAAACCAGCAGAAAGATGTTTAACGCGGGGAATGATTCTTGTTACAGGAGTTACGTTAAGGGTTGCTGGTGGGCAACAACTACAAGGCTACTCTGTGCAATTGGTACAACATCAGGGAAGCGTAAAAGGTAATTTTTTCTTTGATAATATCTTTATGAAAAGCATTATCGATCAGTTCAATACACATGATTGCGTTGAACGTTTGCAATGGTGCGAGAAAAATTCACCTCGGACCAGCTTGTTCATCATCTCACCATTTATGGACATTCTAAAACCGAGTTAACATGTTCGTCAACGTTAGACAATTTTTTAATAATGTGCAGGCTATAAATGTTTTTTCATATTTTTATTTCTGGTATTTGTTTAAATAGCAATTCCAGTGGGCACCTTAGCACACAATCCCCAGGGCACAGCTACAGTTACACCAACCACAGCTGCAATGAACGCCCAGAGGATAACAGTCGGCAATGCGAATATTCGGGATGGTCTACCAAGATTAACAACCCAAACAGTTACCGTAAAACAAGGCGATTCCGTCCAAAGAATAGCTGTACCAAGCTTTGCCCAGCTGGTTCAAACCTCAACTGGCAGACATATCATCTTAACATCTAACCAGCAAAACACCAATACAGGTTAGTTTATGTGAAAATGTTAATACTTAGCCCTGACCGACAACGTTAATAGAAATCAAGTGCTATGCATCGTTTTATAATAAACATCAGGGTACAGTAAAGTTAATCCCTATCTAAACTCATGTGTCAATAGTGGAAAGTCTGACTCGTGAATCCTGTCTGGGGAGACAAACAAAGAGATATCTTTACAATTAAATTATCAAATCGAAAATGCACCTAACAATGAATCTTGTGCAATTTTTTTTTAGTTTCCTTCCCAGTAATGACACCTAGTGGACAACGCGTAACAGTTTTATCGAAATCCCTGATGGGCCTTTCCACGTCTGTGTCGAGTGTTAATAAAGTTGTCGGTGGAGTAGTCACGACTGTTGCTAGTGCAGCTAGTGGAAGACCGGTTATGAGAGTTCCTCCATTAAATGTGACAACGTCTCAAGCACAATCAGTAGCTACTACACAGCAACCGCAACAACAGCAACAATTGCGGTGTGGTATTGTTACCAGGAATTCACAGAAAGATGCTGAAAAATGTCAAACCAAGGAACAACCCAAGTCTGAATTTTACATCGTGAGTAAAAGTCATCTTCATAATATAAAATATATGTATATTTTTGAATCAAGTATAACCTTTAAATTTGAAATGCAGCCACAATTAGAGGCAGAACGAAAGCAAAGGCGGCAAGCAAAACTTCAAACCTTAGCAAATATCAATGAGAGACGTTGCGCTGCTTGTCCACTTTACGGCGAAGATTTGTTCACTGCCTTAAGAATCGGTAGACCTGCCGTTGGTTGTCGTTGGCATGGAGGTGGTTGGATGCATTGTACAACGGCAGAAGGTAGCACACGCACCAGGAAGCAGTTCTTCTCCCGTACCGAAGCTCTTGCTGAAGCCATAAAGTCGACTGAACTAATCGTCGAGGAACTGAAAGAAGTATTTGAAAGGTAAGTTTCGTCTGTGAAACTTTTGACAATTAAGTGATTTAATTATTGGCAAAGCTCTTGTAATTTTATGTTGAATTTAATTTTTAGATTTGTCGTGTATGTGCCTGCCGTAAGAGCACCACTACCTCGTTTTCACGTATCGCATCCTCCACCACACAAACTCTGGGCTGAACGACGAATGCATGTGCAATTGCAAAGGCAATTGTCACCAAAATTAGCCCTGTTCCATCCTGTATCCAGTGCTATGGCCACGCAATTTCCTGACCCTAGACTGATACAGTACGACTGTGGGAAACTGCAGTCGCTGGATCTACTGCTCAGAAAACTCAAAACTGGGAATCATAGGGTTCTCATATTTACACAAATGACTAGGATGCTGGACGTGCTTGAGGCCTTCCTGAATTTCCACGGGCACATTTACCTTCGTCTGGACGGTACTACAAGAGTGGATCAAAGACAGGTTTGCAATTGAAATTGAAATTTGTTATAATTTCTACTAAAAAAAAAATGTATGATGATTTGACGTTTTTTTTTGGGCAGGTGTTAATGGAAAGGTTCAATGGCGATAAAAGAATATTCTGTTTCATCTTGTCAACTCGTTCTGGTGGTGTTGGTGTCAATCTGACAGGTGCTGATACTGTCATTTTCTATGACAGCGATTGGAATCCTACGATGGATGCACAGGCCCAAGACAGATGTCACAGGATAGGGCAAACGCGTGATGTACATATATACAGGTAAAGATGTTACTGGTTAACAAAATATTTATTGATAATCATTCTGTAGTTTTTAAACGATTTTTAATCAATGGACATTTTTACTTAGATTGGTCAGCGAAAAAACGGTGGAGGAGAATATCCTAAAGAAAGCTAATCAGAAGAGGTTACTGGGAGACTTAGCTATCGAGGGCGGAAACTTCACGACAGCGTACTTCAAAAGTGTACGTATTTCAAAAATAGTGGAACGTTATCAAATATTTTATTGATAACTTGATTAACATGTTCGTCTTTGTTTCTTATTTGTATAGTCGACGATTCAAGATCTGTTCAATATTGACCAATCGGAGAATGACGCCTCGACACGTATGGCCGAAGTTCTTGAGCAGAGCAAGGACCGAGAGAAGATGCAACACAGGGACTCATTATCGGGATCAAACACATCTCAGGTTCAGCCAACAGAAGAGAAGGCCGCCATCGGCGCCTTGGAGAATGCTCTGGCTGCAGTTGAGGAGGATCTCGATGTCCAGGCTGCGAAAACTGCCAAAGCCGAAGCTGTTGCTGACCTGGCAGAGTTCGACGAGAATATACCGTTGGACGATGCCGATAAGGAAGATACACAGATCAGCAAGGCAGAACAAGAAGTTCAGAATTTGGTGTCGCAGGTTGGTCTTGATACAGTTACACTCTCATGTCTTTCATGAACCTCTGAAGTATTCTTTAATTTTGTTTCTCATTCTTCCTCAGCTCACACCCATAGAACGTTACGCGATGAAATTCGTGGAAGAGTCCGAAGGCACTTTTTCAGCAGCGCAGATAGCAGCTGCCGAAAGAGAACTGGAGCAACAGAAGAAGGAATGGGAACTGGATCGGCTTCGTGCTCTGCGCGAGGAGGAGGAAAGACGAATGAGAATGGCCGACGACGAGGAGAAGCCGCTGACCTTCGGACGTGAGGACGCGCAAAACCAGGTTAATAACGCTAGTAATTCTAAGAAAGTAGTTAATAAGAAGGCCCCACCGAGTAGGAGGAGCTCACGTAGGCGAAGTAGTAGAAGTGCTCAAGTGTCATCAGAAAGCGAAACCGAGACTACGACAGAGTCCGAGTCAGAGTCTCAGGAGGACCTCGTAGAGGATACTCCAGACGAAGAGTCAAGTCATACGGAGAGTCAGAGTCAAGGCGACGAGGATGAGGAGGAAGAGGGTGATAGTCAGAACGAATCTGAGAGTGGCAGTTACTCGAAAAGTCGAAATCAATCTAACCGATCTACCGAAAGTAAAAATCGTCTCGATCTGAACAGTCCGCGTACTAGGTCTAGGGGTAACGTTAAAATAAATCTTTGGACATTGGACGTGAGCCCTATACTTCCTGGAATCAGGCCTAAGTATACTGCTACTGCCGGCGGAATACCTAGAAAGCGTGGACGTCCCAGAGCCGATGAAATATTTGCGTTACCTTTAGCGCCGATTACAAATTCAAAGAAACCGGTTAACTCCTCTCCAGCTAACAAGGCTGACAGTCAATCTTCAGGTAATTTTAAAAAATACAGTGGCTCACAGGACACCAATAGCCAACTGAGCAATCTCGGCGAGTCTTCTTTACCGAAATCAACTCAAGAGTTAAAAATAGCGTCTGATAAAACTGGCAGAGGATACAACAGGGCTTCGTATAAAATAAATGAGACGACCCACACGAGAAAGGACGATGCATCATTGTCAAATTTACAATCCGAGAGTTCTCACGCAACCGACAGAGTATCATCGTGCAGCAGTACGCTTTTATCGTCTAAAGTTAAAACCGTAGAGGAAACTGAAATTCATGAGAACATCTTGACCAAGGAAGCTTTGAATTCGCCAATGGTTAGACTCTATGACATCATGAATTCAACTGACAATTTCGAATACTCGAATCCAAATAACATTAAACTTGATACACCGTCTCCCAAGGTGAAGTTCAAAGATAAGTTCAAATCCGTGAACGAGAAACGGGATGGAAATTACGTTTCTGAGATAATACGTTCTGACGTTTCTGAGACTGATAATGAAATAAAAGATGTGGTACGCGATAAGGGAGATTCGGATAGTATCTCTTTGGAGGATGGAGTCAGTGAAAAAGTAGGAAAAAAATACAGTAATACAGTAACTGATAAGGAACAGATTAGAAGCACGCATAGACATTCAAAATTGAATGACGCAAAGGGAGACATTGATTTTGTATGCGATAGTCAGGCACAAGAAGATCGATTTGCACTATTAAATATTAAATCATGCGTTGTCTCGTTGGACGAATGTGAAACGTCTGAAGAATCTGTAGAAAATTTGTTTACCACCAAAAATGACTCTAAGAATAAAGTCGACACTGAGAGTGACTCGCAAGATTCTCAAATCTCTTCGGTAATGCATCAAGATGCCCTAGAAGATGGAGAACGAGCAGAACCTGAAGATTCCACGGTATCTGGCAACGCTACAAAGGAGCAGCCGGAGGAGAGTGGAAATTTGAGTTTCATCGGCTCGAAACATGAAAAGTCCAGAGGAATCTCAAGAATAGAGAAATTAAGTGAAAATAACGAAACACGATCGTTTTCACCTAAAACGGTTACGAGAAGAGGCCGAGTTTCTCGTGGTGATTTAGATTTAATGGATCGTAGTTCAAAATTGGAGCTTAGAACATCCAGTCCTTTGGCGTTGCCAACGAAAACAAGATCACGTGGTAAATCCTCACAACTCAAAGAATCTAGTGTCAGTTTAGGGACACAGGATGACGCATCTAGAAGACCCGCAGAAAAAATAGTTTTGGATCGTAGAAGCAAATCGAAGTCTCCCACACTAGATCCAGGACCGACGGAGAAAGTAGTAAAAGTGGAGAAATTGGGAAGAATACCGAAACTGGAAACTTCACTAGAAACGTTCAACGAGGCCTTTGAGAAGCTTTCGAAAACGTTGGACTTAAGGGATATGAAGTATAGCGATGAATCACAGGGTGACAGGAGTACCGATTCGGATACTGATTTTGCTGTACCTTCATTGCCATCGCCCAAGACACCTAATGTTGTTATTGCGGAACCTGTACGAAGAACACGTAGGCCCGATACACCATATCCAGGAGTAACGACGCGGAGCGCAAGAGCCACGTCGAACGTAGAGGTGAATGCAGAGAATACCGATCCTGAGGGTAAAGAATTTTCAAATAGAATTTTAAGCAATACGCCATCCCCTATGGATAGCAAACGAAGTGCTAAACACAGCGTAAGTCAGTTCGATGGCCAACTCGTCGCATTTGATCAAGGAAGAATCACCAGGTCAACTTCAAACAGATCATCGACACCTCCACCAGGAATCTCCCAGAAGTTAAATAAGTCGTTGTTCAAACGGCGACCCGATACACCGTTACCTGGTTTTTTGGATTCAACTACGAGACCGATCACCAGGTCGCACTCTAATACTTCAGCACTGCCCAGCATTTTTCTTGAACGATCCTCAACCCGCAGCTCAAAAGCACCCTTGGACAATGGCTTCGCAGTTCCTAGTCAGTATATTCGCAAGAACAAATCTATCTCCCTCAGTCAGAAGACATCGGACGCTCCAGAATTTCCAAGTCCTGCCCCACCAAGATCAACCAGAAAGTCTTGTCCCGGTGGAATTTCCGAAACTAAAACGAGTTTACTAAAACGTCGGCCGGATACTCCTATGCCAGTTGCGGAACATCCTAGGGTGACCAGATCAGGAGTGGATTTTGCTTTACAGTCTGGCATGCCTTTTTCACCAGTATCAAAGAGTAAAGATCTAAGGAAATCGCCAGTCTCGTTAGGATCTACAACGACTACCGATCCCGTTTTAGACACGGATTCTAATGGAAATGCAGTGGGGTCTGACACTTATTCGAAACAAGGTAGTAGGTTATCACCAATCTTGCCAGATGCAAATGACAAACCTCAAAGAACAGCAAAAGTCGTAGCAATACTCACCTTGGATACTCTCTCAAATCGTCATCACAATATAAGAATGTCGGAATCGCGAATGAACAAGAAGAATTTGGACAACAATACAAAGAAATTGCAGCCTGAAAATGCAAAGTCAAAGTCAGCCGAAGCGTCTCCAAAAAATTCTGGTCTTCAGAGCACGAATAGAGTCTCGAGTCCTCTTAGTGCAAGAGCATTCGTACCATCCAATGAACCAAACAATCGATCAAGTAATATATCTCGTCCAGGAAGTAAAGTAGGTAAAACAGAAAATGTTAACAATTCAAAAGAATCCTCCACAGCAGGGGATCCAACGGTGATCGCACTGATTGATTTGGACGCAGAATCCGATTTCCCTACGCCAGGAACGGGGAAGAGAATGAGGAAGAAAGGTAAAAGGACAAGAATAGCTCCCCTCGCAAAACCTCTAATACAAGGTAATCCTGGAGAGATCCAATTGGTGGATATTTTGGATGACGACGAGGAGGCCGAACAGACGCCACCGGTGAAAAAATCAGTTCGCAATCAACCCCCTCATCCTCATCCTTCGGAAAAGCTTAACAGCAGCCCCGTGTCTTGAGTCACGCTTATATTTTTATCCATACGACTTAGCTGGCGCCCCAAGCAAGTTGGCTTTTGTAGCGGGATGGACGAAAACGTCAAATGATAATGACGAAAGCATATATTTGAGAAGAGGGCGAAACAGTATATAATTGGAAAGAATGATAAAGAAAATTAATGGATTTCTCAAGAGAAAGTTCTCGCATTCCCATCGCCGGTCACGCTATGAAAATCTGTATATAATCTCGCGACACTAAGACGGATAGAAGGAATACCATTCTGAGACTTTCATTGTACTGGATACAATTGTAATGATTTTTAAGTTACTTCAATGAAGACCGAGACGCGTGTTAGTAAGTCGCGCGAATTTACACGCATCTTGTAAATTGCTAGGTGGGACTAGGTTATAGTATAATTTATATTTCGTAAATAAGTGAGACTCATGACTGTATTATATTAGGTTAGATGTTTCAGGGAGAATATCCCTGTGTCTGTTATATAAATGAAAAACACCGTATCGCAATATAAACCAAGGTAATTAAATGTGGTACTCGATTTCTATAGAGGGCTTAGGTAGGAATTTTTAGAATGAAACACGAGAAAACACGATAACGCGAACGAAGTCCTTTAGGATTTCAATTTCGGCCAAGATGAATAGAGGTGAAAGAAAAAGTGACTGCGTTGTATGGCGTATTTTTTCTCGAGGCCCTTGCAAACGAACCCCCGTTATATTTCGCGAGAATACACGCTATATATACGATATATATATAAAAGAAATGAAAAAAATACGCAAAATATAACTTGACTACGCACGCCCATATACGCCGTACCTTATTACGACTATTAGAATTGTAAGATCAGCTGTTTCGAGAAAGAAAAAAATGCCCTACTGTAATAATTATCGTTAAGCCGTATGCCTGTATTTTGTATGATCGAGTGAATCCGAGGATGAAAAATAAATGAACTATTCCTTGCTATGAATAATGTGTTTCCTTATTTCTTGGTACGTTTCCAAGTCTGTTCGATCAAAGGTTCAGTTCCGTTTTGGTGTCAAATTTGCTCAGTGTGCTTGTTTATGCTTGGAGAGTCGTTTAAGCGCAGCAAAATGAAGTTGCGAGATCAGTTTGGTGTGGCAAGGCTGTCATGACCGCACAAGACACAGACATTTTGTTGTATGATTGTAGCATCTCGTGCTCCAGGCGCGTTCGTTAGAGGAAACAAAAATAAGAAATAGAGAGAAGGAACAATAAAAATAAATGAGATTTTAAAAAATGATCATTTTTTTTAAACGTGAAAGGAAAGACTCTGATAAAAATGTTGAGAAAAATGGCACCAAAACACTGCCTTTGCCATTCCAAACTTGGAGACAGCCAAGATTATAAGCAGGCACATCAATGAGCGTCAACAAGGAATTAAGTTTATTTTAATTAATTACACTCTACGAGGACCGGAACGATTGGAACAACGAGCCTTTGAACGAACAAGGCCATCACTCCCTTAGAATAGTCAAATATTATAATTAAATTATTTTAATCGTCGTTATATATCAAACCCGGGTTTCTATAATGCCTCTTTCCATTGGTGAAGAGTTTGTTAATTTAATATGGGAGAGCATTCGTTCTGAGATTCTCGTAGGTAAGTTTAAATTATCAAAAAACTAAGATTAATGGATTTTATATGAAGTTAATCCTATATCAGAGATATTTATCATCAATATAAGTCGTACTTAGCGTCATTTACTCTCTTGCAGATATGGTTGTCGGAGAACACCATGGAACAGATGCCGGTTAGTATTTTGAAGAAGATTGTGAATTTACATATAAAAGAGCGTAGAATCGTATGAACTGTTTTGATTTTTCTTTTTTAAATATTTAGATGTGGTGTCCGCCAACACCGCCTACAACGGATAATGACGTGTACATAGATTATTCACTTGGATTTCTTTACGAAGCTACGCCAATGTCTGAGGCTCAATTGCCTCCCGTTTACGTGAAGAAGGAACAAAAAAGAAGTAGAGTGGACGTTGTGTCCAGTGACAGAGGCGATGGTCGTCGACCTGTCAAGATGCGACATAAGGAGGAATCCGTTTACGCACCCAGATCACTATTCGACAGACCATCACCAGCTTTGACAAAGATGCGACGTGACATGAAATTGCATAAATATCGAGCAATAGTACGTCCGCCTATACCGATGACTGGAATAAAGCCAACACCCATGTTAAAACCTACGCCAGAGCCAGATAACGTCCTTGACTGGATGGTCCATGAGGATTGGGCTCTTCTGCAGGCTATTCAAATCTATCAGGGGCTGCCCCTGAACTTGATGATTCTTTCACCAGGACATACACCTAATTGGGATCTGGTTGCTGATATCGTTAACAACACCTCGAGGATCTACAGGTCGCCCAAACAGTGTAGAAGTCGTTACGAAAGTGTCATTGTTCCAAGGGAAGAGGGTAAACTGTTGTACGACACCACTCCAAAGAAGCAGAAGAAGCAAAAGGGAGTTTATAAGATGCCACAAGTTGCTGAGGTACAGTACAGGTTAATTTGTGAAATTAATTGTTTCATACTCAATAGATTTTCATGCTATTGTTCTTTGTGTATAACAGCAAAGTAAGACCAATCGGCCAATGAGGACGTCGCAGCTTTATAACCAGGATAAAAATCACTCGTTCACTTTGATGTGCTGTCAGAGATTCGATACTATTAAATCTGTCTCCAATAAGCGAACGCCTACGGTTAAACCATTGCTGGTCAATCCTCTGATGAAGAACCCGAAGCATGCTGCTGTCCTCGCTGAGTGTGGGATCCAGTACGACAGTCCATTGGCACCAATAGAGGTAGCAACACGTCGTGCTGAAAGGATAGCCAAAGAAAAACTAAAGAATGCCGTAAGCATAGTTAACCTTAAACGACACTTAAAGTTTCTCATAATGAATTCGAGCTTCATTTGTCATGTTGTTCATTTCAGGTACTCACTGCTGAACAGCAACAACAACAAGCAACTGCTCGTTTGCTACAGCAACAGCAGCAGGCCGCTCAACAACAGCAGCAGCAACAGGCAGCTCAGCAGCAGCAGCAACAGGCTGTTCAGCAACAGCAAATTCAATTGCAACAACAGCAGCAACAACAGTCACAAATAGCATTGACTACGAATACGCCACAGCCACATCAGCTCACTCAAGTAATAGCCAGTGTAGCGACAACACTAGCCTCTATAAAAACAGTCGCGTCGACAGCAATCGTTACCAGTGGTACAACCGTTGTAACCACCGCAGTAAAAGGTCGATCCGGTGGTACTCTGACAATGCACGACGTTCGACCAACTCCTACAGTAGTTAGTGTGGCAAATCTACAAACTGGCCAGAGGATAGCAACAGCAAGTTTAGTGTCAGCTGGACAAAATCCGACAGGAGTAGCGCAGAAGGGCATTGTCGGCGTGACTGTAGCGACAGCATCCGGTAGCAAAACTCTAACACCAGCACAAGTTCAATACTATAAGCAGCAACAAGTACTCTTACGTCAGCAACAGCTAAAGGTGCTTCAAGCACAGGCTGCAAGTGGACAAAAGGTTTCTGTAGCTGTTTCCGCTGCAGCTGCGCAACAAAGAGCAATGCTAATGAAACAAGGGGTTACTGCAGGAACTGTGGCTCAGGCTGCATTAGGGAAACAAACTGTAACTAGAACAGTATCGGAGACAGAAATGGCTGCGTTGATAAAGCGACAAGCTGCACTCCAACAACAGGCTAAGGCTGTTGCTCAAGTGCAAGTTCCAGCACAGGCTGGATTAACACCTGCGCAGATATTCGCCCAGGCTGGTCTTCAGGTTCAGCAAGCTGGAACTTCTGCGGGTGGTACACCTGTAGCGACATTAGTTAAGGCTGCAAACGTCGCAGGGGTACGCACTGCCACTCCGCAACAGATCAGACAGCTCGCGCTACATCCTCAAATCTTGGCACAAAGAAAACTACCAGCGCAGAAAGTCGCGCAATTAGCTCAGGTTGCTGGGAAGGCTGGAATGCAAACTCAGCTTATTGTCCAGCAGAAATCATTACCAGCTACCATGACTGTTCAGCAAATACACCAAGTTATGAAACATGTGCAGCCATCCACCATGCAGCAATTCACACACGTTAGTTAATGATGTTTATTAGATACCAGTTATTCCAATTTTTTTCGTATTGCAATTCTACTAATCTATCTTCAAACGATCTTATTTATAGGTCTCTAGCGGACAGGCAGTATCCCAGGCAGGTCAGGTTGTGTTGGCAAAATCTCCATTGCAAACAAGAGTTATTCCTGTTGCATCAGCAGCCTTAAAGCAGACAATTCAAGTGGTAACTGCTAGCAGCGCTCAATTAAGACAGGCTGCACCTGTACCAGGAAAGCCTGTTGTAACAACGGCCAGAGCTAGTCCAGGACCCAGTCAAGTGAGGCTACAAACAATTGCGCACTCGGCTCATACTCAACAAATGCAGCAACAACAGCAACAGCAACATCAGAATCAACAAGACTCGCAGCAGAAGTAAATGAATTTTGTAATTTAGAAACAGTTTAAAATTATGATCGAGTGTTGCAGAATCTCTATCTAATTATTTCTGCTCAAATTGAGGAATAAAAAACAGAGCTAATGATTCAACACGATTTTAAACGTTTCTATAGCGAATCGATGGACGATATAACATTCCAAATTTGACAATTTATACTTATATCATGTACTAAGGAAGGGTTAGAAGTGAAGGGCTTTATGCGCACAATTTCAAAAGATAGTCATGTCTTTAATATTGTGATATCCTTGTTAACATCCAAGTGATATTTTGCTTTCGAAATCAAGGAGCTCCGCACCCGTTAAACGATTCTCTTGCATCATTTTCACATTATTATTCTGTAATGGGAACACAACAGAATAATTCTATTTATTTAATTGCAAAAAAACACGTGGATTACTTCCCGCCTAAATTACTTTAATTGCGGCGATTTACCTCGCACCAATTAATTATTTATACTTATGCTGCGAGCACATTATACATAATTGAAACGACGAGCGTGATATCCTGAGAATAATATCGGGTAGGATTTATTAATTAAAATAACCCTCGATCGGTAATTCTTTTTTTTAAATATATATGTATGTATATATTGTTTTCTCTGATAACAAATCATTTGTTTTTATCACAATTAATAGTGTCGAGATTAGTTGTTCGACAAAGAATTCTCATGAAAACCAAGATCCCAAATACAAATAAGGATAATAAGTTAAGATTTGAAGAAAATAAAAATGTATGCTGGTAGATAAAGAAACTTTCTATTTCATTCAAGTATCATGCGAAGTAAAACTTGACGTTTCTGTCAGTCAAAATCGTAATATCTTGACTACGGTCAGCAAAGTGAAAAATTTATTAAAACGAAGTAAACGTTTAAAAGATATATTTAAAAGCGGCAGATGAATACGGATGCACAGAGCATTGAGTAAGAGATCACGTACACCCAGTATGTTTGCAGAACTTATGCAATCAAGAAATATGCAATTTCAATCACGACGGCAGTTAAAAATATAGTTCGCTTATCGCAATAAAGTCAATAAGTCAGAGTTAACGAATTTCACTGATGTCATAACGCTCTGATAATCTCCAAACACTTATTTTTTGGCTGATTCATCGTTTAATTTCACGTTCTTCTTAATTATTAAATAAATGTAATATTAAAACTGTAACTATGTTTAAAAAAAATATAGTGTCAGAATTTCATACAACTCACCCTGATTAGTGGAAGCAAAGAAAAATCATCTAATTCAAATGTTCTGTTATAATTCGATTGTGGTTAGTCACATTAATTTCAGTTCTTTACTTTTATCATATTAACTTTTATACTTCATGTAAAGTATGATGTATGTACTTAGTGAGTATTACATGGTATTAGTAGTTGATAAATACATGACATTGAACGAAATTTTTGTGAAAATATTAATAATCCTTAGTATCTACGTATAGATTGTTTTAAGAATGTTGTACGTTATCGACCGAGCAACGCAGATCGATGTTTGAAATGAATTATAGAATGATTCAAAACGAACTTTACATGTATATCGTTGCGCCACTCTCTTGCGGATAATCGATTTTGGAATAACAATAAGCAAATAAATTCGTTCGACGGGATATGATAAATGTCTATTAGTTGAGATGTACCGAAAGTAATTGAAAGTGTGCCAAGGTTTATTGTTAGTCATTGATTTTTATTTTACCTTAATCTATGGCTACTTCGATTTACTTTATTTAAAGAGAGACCGTGTAAGCCTAACCGAATATCTGCAAGTCTAATGAGATGAAAAGAAATCTATAATAGAAGAGAGAAAGGGGGCAAGAGTATAAAAAGTAATTTGAAAGAAAGATATAACTTGTATATGTATATATAGGTCCGCGTTATGATTTTAACAAAAAATATTTCTTATTATAGTTGATAGCTTATTAATGTGCACACGTGTAAGATTGTAACCTGATATATCTATATCAGTATGATATAATAATTACGTGTATATATACTTGAGATATGCACATATGGTATGCATGGACTTCGTATGTAACTGGCATATGTATACACGTATGTATTATAAAAATATACATATGGATAGATAATTCGTGTACAATAGTTAATCAAATAAAACTCGTCAATAAAACTTGGATTGTACTTTAATGTTTTGTGTGATTGGCAGGAAGGAAATCTAGTAGAAAAGGATATATTGAATTATATCATTGTCAGAGATTTTGTCACGACGTAGTCAATTTGACAGATTGGGATTAGCTTAAAATATAAAGATATGAAATAATATTTTAAAAGTACATGGGTCACTGGTTTGACTTTTATAATTGGCGTTACAGTGTCTATTACAATTTTGTTAAAATTTGGATAAATCTAAAATTTATAAATATGCCGAAAGATTTTCGCAATTCTTAACATGGTTTAATTATTATAAATGTCGTGAAGCTTATGAAACTTTCGTCATGAGATATTATTGTTTTGATTTACAAAAAATGTTATCAAAACCTCACGAGAGATTTGTTTCTTTTTCAATCGAGCTAATCTCCCCCACTTTAATTTCTTATATGCTAAAATTAGCAAAAATTTCTTAATTACAGAGACATCATTGTTCTAACAGAACGATGAAAAATTTTAAAAATTAAAAGTATCCGGATAATTTATTAGAGGTGCTGTTAAGCACCTACGACAGTTTCGGAATGTTCCAGTAAGGTTCATGGAATTCGGAAAATTCCGCTGGGACCGTAAAGCGTAATGTTTCAAAGGCTAAGACTAGGAACACTCCAATGCCAAAGACTCCCGTAGATTCCAAAATCTGTGGCGAGGAACACGTAGCATCCAAAATGGAATATGTGAATTTTCAACTTGAGGTTAAAAAATAGCATCACAAAAATTGTATCTACCCTGTAAGTATTTGCATTTGACTGAACGGGTACCTCATAGCGATTGCGAAATGCATATTCGGCGTGAGGCTGTTGCACGAAGTTAAGGCGTATCGCGAGTATCGGAAATCGATAAAAAATTATCAAATTTCAATGCGCAGTCGATGCACAATAAAAAAAAGTACAATGGTTTAAAACCTCAGATTTTCGAAGACGTGCACCATTTTACGACAAATCGCAAGCATGCAGCTTAGCAGACTCTTACACTCTGCATAAGATGATGCATGACGTAGATGCATGCTTATGATTCGATTACTTTTTCTCGATTAAAGACTAAATAGCAAAAAATAAACAGCTACCAGCGTCTTTTCTGTTAGTTAAAACTGTCTGCATTTTTATTTAAAGAGAAAAGTTTATTTTTTAATAGTTCTAGTTCAACTCATAAAGGCATTTGGCGTGCATATTTTCCTCAAATTTTGTTGCGGTTTTTTTATTTATGAAGAATTTTTAATAGAGAAGATAACGTGCCTCAATAGCAAAAAATGTAAGATAACATTTATCAATATTAAAAATGTGAATTGTTATATAATTCGAACAGTAATTTGATACACGAGATGGAAGTAAAGTTTCCATGCTCCAGGAAACTTTTGTATTTTTTTTCAGCATAACGTTATAGAAGTTCATATTCATTTTCGATTAATTAAAAAACCAACCTTGAAATAAATTCCAAGAATTCTTAGAGGAAAAACACCGTATCACATATTTTCCTGGTAGATGCATCATGGGAATATGATAAAATAGAATAGGTCGTCATGAATAATTGTAAATGTAAATCTTCGCCGTTTACTTAGAAGGAAAAACTAGTCTTAAGTATAATACTAGCCATAAAAGGAAAATCCCTAGAGAATTTATGTTGTAACAAGTGAGCTTGTATTATAGCCTTGACAAGTAATGCAAATCTGCTTTGGATAGGAAATATGGAAGAGAAAATGTCGTACCCTTAAAAAATTAGAGCTAATTGCCTTAAGAAATAATGATTTCCTACAAATTATTAGTGAAAGCATCTTAGTGCAGTTATGACACACCACAGCAAGTCTGTTCAATTCTCATATGATTAATCACAGAGGAAGAAAAAATGTATCATTATCTCAACCCAGTCAAGAAGAAATAACCGAAAATAAAACATACTAATAAGACAAAAAGAGCAGTAAATTATGAGTATGATACTACTAAAATACAGTTCCATAAATGTTAAATTGCAGCAACAGAACAAAATGCAACAAGTAATATTGCAAGAGTGTTACCGGTAACTTGAATGTAAGTTACAATATCCACCTCGACAACATAAAATTGTAAGGTAAGCTAACAATATAATATAAATGTTACATAATCAAATTGGTTTATTGATTTGAGTCACATATACGTGAACACAAGGAAACATTCATTTAACAGCAACATTTTTTTTTACTCTAAAGTAACGTGAATTTAATGTCTCACCAACGAGATGCTAATGTGACTGTACCTGGCGGATCGCAAGATGGCGTCTTCCTTCGTTTCACATAACCAGTGCCATGTATTATATCAAGCCTCATGATAGTGATATACATAAATATCGTAATCGTGTTTGCCCTGAATTAAGTTTATTCTGTGAGATACAGATATTTTAGTCCTTAAATAATTACACTCAGGATGTTCAAAAAACTTTGTGTAGGTGGTAAATATTCCGACCCACTTTTAATAAATTGTGTATCCCACAAGTCTTATTTCGATACATACATTCGGGAAGTTCACTTTTGTAACATCAAGAATTACTGATTTAAAAAATAATTAATTAAAACGTTAATGTCACGTTGAAATAATATTTTAATGTAACTGAAACATAATTCAGGATGTATCCGATGTAATATTGCGTAAACGCAAGATTGTAATATTACACGCACGCATTTCTGGAAGTTGCTGATGTAAGATTTACACTGAAGTAACAAGTCGTTTTACCCAATTAGATATTAGATAATAAGATATTCCCATTTCATAAAATGTATCCCAATACACCTAGTTCAATAAATATATATATATTACGTTACACTACATCACATTTACACGAATAACACTGAGGTTACAATAACATTGTTGGACAAGTGTTACGTAACGAGTGCCCAAGTTTCTTTTACATAACTGTAATGTTAAAATAACATGTAGCAGTTAAGTTACTTGAATATCGTAAATGAAAAATTGCTTGCTACTTTCATGTTATATTATCACAATGACACGTGTTTACTGAGATACCTTAACTAATAGTTCTCTACAATCACTAAAGTATACAAGATAATAGACGTCATATAATATTGAATGAATTTTTTTTTCTCTACAAAAAATACTTAATCGTAATGGTCTCTGATCAATTTTCCCTCTAGTTGTTTAGACTTATCTTGTTTCCCCTACTTAATCGTCTGCGATCACTCCCGCTCGTTCCACACATTTCTCAATTCGAATTTAATTTCATCATTTTCTATCCACAGTACATTTTTGTGAATATGCTTCGCTCAAAAGTTATATAAGTAGTGTCTCGTTTATAAGACCAGTCTCTCTCTTATTCTGCGAATGAGGATGGAGTTACTAAGTGCGGATGGTATCGGCATCACTCTGGCTTTGGTGGCTACAGCAATATCGTTGTTTTACATTTACGCCAAGTATAAACTCTCTTATTGGAAACGACGTGGTGTAGAGTCTCTGCCAACGAATTTGATATTTGGCAATTTTAAGGATGCCGTACTATTCCGTACAGCACCAGGGTGGCATCTTGGAAATCTTCATAAAGCCGCTAAAAAAGACGTTCCGTACCTTGGATTCTATATATTTCACAAGCCCTGCTTCCTACTTCGCGATCCTGAAGTCATCAAGCAGATCTTGATAAGAGACTTCGAGAACTTTTCCGATCGTCATTTTGCTGGTTCCGAACAGAAAGACAGTATTGGAATGAAGAATCTTTTCGGTATTAAAAATCCCAACTGGAAATACCTGAGGGCCAAGATCACTCCGACCCTTACACGTGGCAAATTGAAGCAGATGTTTCCCCTTATGCTGGAGACTGGTGAACCCATGATGAAGTATTTGGAGAATCAACCTGAAAATAAAAATGGTGTAAAAGTGATTGACGCTCAAGAACTTAGTTATAAATACACCACCGATTTAATCGCATCAATCGCACTCGGCACCAAAATGGATTCCTTCCATTATCCCAACGAAGAATTTTCCAAAGCAGGTACAGTCGTCTCTTTCATGCAATATCCAAGTAGTCTAGTGTTTTAATCTGAGTGTTTTAATCAGCGAAACGAAAGTGAATCCTGAAGATTCTTTGTAACCTTAGATTCAATTAATTTCTTTCTCTTGCTCCGTTCCAGTGATGGAATTCTTCCATGGATTCAAACGTATGGTCGCCCTTGTCACCGTGTTCTTCATGCCTGAATTGGTGGAGATGATTGGCACCCGCATGTTATTCAATTCCAGTTTCGTAAAGAAGATCTTCTGGGAGGCCATGGAGTCCAGAGAACGCACTGGAAATAAGAGAGGAGATTTTATTGACTCCCTTCTGCAACTTAAAAATGGCGAACAGAACTCCGACTACAGTACGTACCACAATGTGCAGGAATCTAATGGATCCGATGGTAATATCATTTTCCACGTTCCGTCACAGAATTCGAGGGTGAGAATCTTCTTTACCAATCCGGCACCTTCTTCTCTGGCTTCGAGTCCAGCTCCACGACAATGTCTTTCACTCTTATGGAACTTGCCAATCATCCGGAGTACCAGGAACGTGTTCGTCAGGACATCAACAAAGCTATTGACGCTCATGGCTTCACCTTTGATGCCTTCAATGAAATGAAGTATTTAGATCAAGCAATTGCCGAAGGGGTTAGGTTGCATCCTCCTGTATCTACCATCGACAGATACACACGTAAAGACTATAAGGTATGTAAACAAACTTTCCTCGTCAGTCAATTTCATTGAGACAGATCTTTCCTATATTAATTTTTTTTATGACACCCTATACTTTTATAGATTCCGGGCACCGACATTATTCTCGAGAAGGGTACACCCATATACATTTCCCTTTATGGTCTTCAGGAAGATCCTCGTTTCTTCAAAGACCATTCAACATTTAACCCAGACAGATTCACAGACGACAGTAAAGTCGCCGATGCTTATATTCCTTTTGGCAGCGGACCAAGGATGTGCGTTGGTAAGTAAATTCAGGATTTAATACAGCGTTATGATTATGATTCGTATAAGTAGTTATGAAAAACTTCGAAATTGTCTGTTTTTGCATTTTACAGGAATGAAAGTTGGTCAGCTTCATGCTAAGGTTGTCATCGCGATGCTTTTACGCGAATACGAGATTTGGCAGAAGCCTGAAGACAAGAGCATTCTGGATCCTCGTTCGACCTTCACTGCAGCAGCTAACGGCATTGTATTGCAATTTAGAAAATTGGTTAAATGATAGTAATAAATAACGTCACGAATATTGCATCCGCAATTGACACGGGACTTCGTAAAAAAAATATTTCACTAGGACATTCCAAAATTATTTATTTGACTTGCATGGTACTATATAGTTTCGTCTAACTCTGTTAAACTCGTTACGTAACACGTGTGCAACAATGTTATTGAAACGTCAGTGTTATTTGTGTAAATGTTCGTGTTGTGTAATTTAATAAACATACAGTAATTTGATAACCCACCAAACGTAGTTTATAACAATTATTACATTTACAAATGTGTACGGGTAAAACGACTTGTTACTTCAGTGTAATCTTACATCAGCAACTTCCAGAAATGCGTGCGTCTAATATTACAATGTTGCGTTTACGCACTGATATATCCTGAAGTATGTTCCAGTTAAATTAAAATTATTATCTTAACGTGACATTGAAATTGTATTTAATCATTTTCAAAATCAGTAATTCCTATAATTACAAAATTAAACTTCTAGAAAGATTCCTACTGCAGATTTTTACGCTGCTTACAATATCTGTGCACAATATTTATACAAATGTTTATTCTCGGCGACCACAAAACGTATCTAATTGTTGTGTAAATTGGACTGGACAAATCAACATAACAATGTTACATTCTCCATGTATATAGATGTTATTAAAATTTCCCATGTCATTAAAACATAAGAAAACCTGTTAACTGCAATCTATTTTAATCTAATTTCTGCTACGTTTAAGGAAATCTGAATGGCGTCGTTGAAAGTGGCTAGGCGTGAAAGAAACGTTTGAAGAAAGATCTGAAATATTTGTATCTCATAAAATGACCTTAATTCGGAGCAAACGCAATTGTCATATTTATCTACGTCCCGATTATGAAGTATGATACAACATATGGCGCTAGTTATGTGAAACGATGAAAGACGCCATCTAGCGATTCGCCAGATACAGTTACGCGGACATGGCGCTGGCGAGACATTAAACTCACGTTACTTTAAAGTAATTAAAAAAAACGTTGCTGTTAAGTTAATGTTTCCTTGTGTTCACGTATATATGACTCGAATTAATAAACCGATTCGTTTATATAAAATTTATGTAATATTGTTAGGTTAGGTTACGTTACAATGTTACGTTGTTGAGACGAAAATTCAAGTTATCGGTAATACTCTTGCAATATTGCTTGTTACACTTGGTTCTGTAGTTGCAATGTAAAATTTATGTAACTACGTTTAGTGGGTAGTGTGCTCTTAGGGAGAGTCAAATAATGAAATGCAATGGAAAATATAAAATAAATGTTAACATTTTAACTGACGAACTATATAGATAACATTGAATAATATCAAATTATACAAATATATCTCTCACTGTTAGGGCTCTTATACTTCATTAATAAATATACACTGTTCAAATTGACCTCGTTATTTCATATCTGATGAACTCTATAACGAGCTCCTGCTATGTAGTGATTCGTCATGAAATATTATTTAGTCCGAACGTTACAATGGAGACGTCAACATCGCACTTGCTGATTTACGTAGTGACGTTTATACTGTCGTTAGTCGGTCTCCTCTATATTTATATCAGATATAAGTTGTCATATTGGAGCAGACGAGGTGTCAAGACGCCTCCTGTCCACTTGCTATTTGGTAACTTCAAAGATACTATTACATTCAAGAAAGCACCTGGCAATACGTTACGGGATATACACGAGAATGCTGACGCAGACGATCCCTATATCGGCTTCTATATATTCCAAAAGAGATACTTGATGCTGAGAAATCTTGACATTATTAAGCAGATATTCATAAAGGATTTTGATTTGTTTCCAAATCGTAATTTTGGTGGAAAACGAGAAATAGACTCCGTAGGCCTTATTAATCTCTTGGGAATAAGACAACCGGGATGGAAATACCTGAGACAAAAGATAACCCCATTTATCACTGGACAAAAACTAAGAAGAATGATACCTCTTATGGTGGATTCCGGATATCCGATGACGAATTTTATCGATGATAAATCCACTGACAGCGAAGGATGGAAGGAAGTTGAATTGAAGGATATCTCGTCTAGATATAGTACCGATGTTATATCTTCTTTGGCTTTTGGCGTTACCACCAATTCTTTTAACAAGAATGATACTGCCTTTTGGAAAGCAGGTAAGTGTGAATTTATGTAATCAAGTGAATATTGGAAATTTTCTAGTAAAGACAGTATTGCATGTAACGTGTGTGTTAGTTAATTTTATATTCAAATTACGTAACACTAATGGGTGAAAGAATGTCGTAGATAAGTGATAAATAATATTGCGTACGTTGTATATGATATTGCGCTTACTGTGATATATATTTATTAAATTTTTATTTTACAGGACTGAAGATACTCTCTGGTACTAAGAGAAATATTATACTTATGATTGTATTCCTCTTACCTGAGCTTATTGATATTATTTATCCAATAATGACTGGTCCTGCACAATTTTTTAGAGAAGTTTTTTGGGACTCGATGAACACTCGCGAGAAAGCCGGTTATAAGCGTGGCGACTTGATTGACTCTCTTCTGCAATTAAAAAATGCCCAACAGAATCCGATATTCAGTAAGGGCTTTTTTAGGGGATGCTTATTATTTTCAAAATATGTCTGATGCTTTTATTATTGTACATTTTGTATTAAGAATTTGAAGGCGATAATTTGTTGGGTCAAGCTGTCGCTTTTTATGTTGCTGGATACGAAGCATCTTCCACTGCAATCGCTTTTACACTGTACGAATTGGCACGACACCCGGAATATCAAGAACGCGTCTTTCAGGAAATTCAAACGGAAATATCGAAAAATGGTATCGATTATAATTCCATAAACGAGATGAGTTTCTTGGATAAAGTAGTTATTGAGACGTTGAGGATGCATCCGCCTTTACCTTTGGTTGATAGATTTGCTATTGAAGATTATAAGGTAAGTAATGGCGTAAATTTATATTTTATATTGAATAATATTAGAAAATCATTAAAAATAATGACTTAGTTCATACTTTAATTTCCGTTTTATTAGTACAGATTCCAGGGACTGATTTGATAATAGAAAAAGGTACACCTGTTATTGTGTCGACGAACGGTATAAATCGTGATCCCAAATATTATTCAAATCCGGATGAATTTGATCCTGAAAGAACACAGGAAGGTAAAGAAGAATTGATTGGGGCTTCGTTGACTTTTGGAATTGGACCTCGGTCGTGCGTAGGTATGTATCTTTTAAACATTATTAAAAAAAACATCGTAAATTAAAGTTATTGATATGATCTTTAATGTATTATATTTTTTCTAGGACAAAGGATAGGGACTCTTATGACAAAAGTCGGTGTTATAACGATACTATCAAATTATGAGCTATCTTACAAGTGTAAGGAAAACGAAGATTTTAATGCTATAACAATATTCACAGCTGCTGCAGATGGTGTTGTTGTTCATTTAAAAAAGCGGGAGAAACCTATCAAAATCAGTGTCAATGAATGGGCGACTGATTGAGTGTATGTTGTACGTTTTCTCGCCAAATATATATAATTATACGAATAAAAGTTATTTACTTATTAGCGTATTGAGTTACGTGAAACTTACCCATTCGCAAACCCATTGATGTTGAAAACGAACTTCTGCATACGGAGTCCGTTTGCGCTTAAATAATGCGACGTTTAATTAGTAGATATTAATTTGTACATTTTAATGACTGTTGTGCGTTTGCAAATATTTCTTCAATGAAACTAAACATATCGAGATTGAGTATACAAGTCGTATGTATGATACTTTCTGTTTCTATTAGAATTTAATTAACGTACATACTTACATACTACATTTTATTCAGTTGCTTCAGGGGCTTGACAACAATGGGTTATAGTACAACATGTGGAATAATAATATAGCCTACCGATAAGATGGCGTTACTGCTTGTACTAATAGTCTATAGCACGGAAGTGCCGTGGTCTCTAATAGTCTCCAACAGTCTTCAATGAGTGGCTGTGGTTAACTCACAGTACGTATGTATATGCATATGTAACATAGCAGGGATTATTTGAAGAAGTGTAAATAACCTGTAAACTATCTATCGCGTGCTTGGTCGTTGATTGTTCAAAAAATTAATTTAAAGCAATGGCACAGGGGAAATTAAAAGTGAAAGCAAAACCTCCACCATCTGGAAAGAATAAAGCAAACAAAAGCAAAAAGGGTGCTGCAGTTCAACGTCGTGGAAGTAAGAAAAAATTTATTTACTCCATGTACTTTTTGTAGTATGTTTGTGAATGTTTAGTGTTGCTGTACAATATTGGCTCTTGTATTGTTTCATTGATATTTATGACAGCTGTACTTTTATTTGGGAAATAGATGCACCTATTCAATCTAAAAAAACCAAATTTCAAGAGGCACATAAGTTGAAGAAGGCTATCACGAAGACAGTAAATAAAACTATGGAAGATGAATTGAGGAAAAGAGCTCTCGGAGGAAAGCAGTCTCTTACAAAAAAAGAATCTGCAACTACGTCGAAGAAAAAGTAACCTGACAATGGTGAAAATGATGTTAATAAATTGTAAGTTTATTTCTGATGACTGTATATATATGACTGTGTAGGAATTAGATTAAAGGTCTCGTCGGAGTAAGAAATATGTTTACCTATAATTGAAATATTACTTTATTTAGAATATGTCCCATATTTGAATATAATAATGCACTATATTTTTTTAAATATGAAATGCAGTTATTGGCAGAGCCATGCTCAGACACTGTTAAATACATTAGTACTGGCAGTTGCATTAATATGTTATTATGCGCTCATACAAAAGTGTAACGATATCTTCATAAAATAATATACCTCTAGAAATATAGTTAAAAAAAAATTTTGATATTTCTCAAACAATTTCATGTAAATACTAAGAGTAGCAACGACACTGGACCGAGTTCAATGGCACTGTTGGCTTTCTTTGTAAATAATGGCAAAAAGTAAATTCCAAAGAGAAGCATTCAATTAAAAAAGCCAGTAAAAAAATGGGCAGAACAAAGTTTCTGTGGCTTTGTTACAGTATAATAATTTGGTTAAGATCCGCATGCCATGTAGTTATCAGGAAAATTTAAATACCTATCAAATCAGAATTGTTTCATATTTTTTTTTTACATGACTATGGTACAAGGACGCAACCGTACTGATTTATGAAATGTACGTCTCTACAATATATATTATTATTACTATCTCTTCGTAATACTTTGCTTCTTCTAAAATCACATTAGTTAAGGCTTCCTTAGCTCCGATATATTGGTGCGTCTCACGTTGTCTAAGTACGTATTATTCGTCGTCCATCTGTTCTTCGTTGCATGCTTCTATGGCGAAGCCACCTTAAAACATTGAAAAAACATTTGTAAATTACTTCTCTATTGTAAAATTAATTATCAGGTCGATTGTACAATACTTACCACTAGAAGATGGCCACTCTGTCTATTCTTACTGATGGCTGGAGTTGTACCCGTCGTAATCTCGATTTGAGCTTCCTTTCCACTGACTAGCTTATGTGAGACTCTGTAAATACATATGATGCATCATCGTTAATTTCTACCTTTATGTCAGACTAAACGAATAATATATTCAAACTCACGATTCGTTGTTGACAATGTTGAGGATTTTTGGATTTTTGGTGATATCAATCGCTTTGGTCAGAGCTTCAATTAAGTGAGGCACTTCCAAAATTAAATCACCCTACGTATAAATAAATGACTATATAACTGCAAGATCTTATTATAATTCTTATAATTAATATGAATAAATTTTTATATATGTATTTTATTATGATTATAGTAATAGCTAGCGGATTCGTTTGAATCTGTTGATAAGCTTTAAAATTTAGCATCGCAATTTCGCCCGCAACCCATTAGCTGAAATAAAATTATCTACTCATAATGCATGCAATATATGTATCAATTTTGGAAGCACCTATATTATGGATGCGTAAGCGTACGCAATAAATTAAAAATTATTACTTTTTCAGTTTTCCCACCGAATTTAACACATGCATCGTCTTTAATCACCTGTAGTTACAATTCATAGTCTGATTAGTAAACGTTAGATATGAAAACTGTCAATCCTTCAGAAAATATTTCATTAAACTTCACCAGTTTTATTAAACCATTATTCACCATTCTGTTAAATTCTATAAAAAGTAATGTTACCTTGTCCTTCTTAAGCTCAGGAGGTATCCTAACAATCAATAAATTATCCGATTCTCCTGTAACTACTAATTCTTCAATTGATTTATATGGTAATCGGTGTTTCAGTTTGAACGTTTTCAAACTGTCCAATATGTAAACCGCTTCTTCTGTAAGAATCAGTACTCTTTCCCGTGGTTTGTAACCGTGCCGATCATATTTCACAACCGGTGTCGCATACTAAAATATAAGAAACGGATTAAACGATGCAGTAAACCACAATCATACAAAGATTTTCATTAATTTGTTCTTTTCAAAATGTCTTACTTTGATATTTTCACCACGTGGTAAAATATTTGTAATAAAAGTTTGCCTAAGGGCTTTGTGCTCAGCGCCTAGACGATCTTCCAAGAATCTAGGACCCAGGCTCTTTGCATATGACTTCTTTTTGCCCTTGAAAAGTTCTTGAGAGAGAATCTTCAATTTGAAGTGTGCTATCTCCTCTCGCGAAAGACTTAGCCTGTACTGCCTAGCTTTCCATTTCTTGTATATTTCAAATAGTAGTGCAGACGCCTACGAATTCATCAAATTAAGAACACGACTGTACAAATGATGTAATAGTAATGATAATATAACAGGCACTAACTTCCTGGCAAGCATAAGGACACGACGGCCATGTATTGTTCATAACACCCACGGGAAGGTTTTTGGAGAGTCTAATGAGCCACTGGGATTTAGCCAACTCTATAAAGGCGACGTTTTCCTCGTTAGGCGGTCCATTTCTCGTAATGAATCCCTTTATAAATCTGTTTCACACATGAGAAAGTTTATTGTTGAAAGGCCAATTCTATGTAACGGAGACAGGACGACAATTCTTTCGCAAAATTTACCTTCGAATTGTTATTGCCGCCTTTCTCCTTCGCTCGGCTTCCCTCTTGGCCAACCATCTGCGAATATATTTCTGCAGAACAATGGCCGCCTTCCTCATTTGTAGATATTTTCGTCTCTGCAGTATACACTTCCACTTGCTCTGTATTATCGCAGCAATATCGTGTTTCTTCAACTGGAACGCATCCTCCGTATCGAAGAGGGTCTTTGGGAACCTTATGAAGAGCTTAGTGCTGAGAACAAAGTACAAAATTACGTAATCTTTTTACAATGATAAGAAGCTCATGTACCAATGATATATATCGTTTTCTTACTTGCCCATCTTGTAATCATCGCAATCGTAGCCAAGATGACAGACTAGGGCTTGCACTCCTTCTTTGGCTGGTCCAGCATACCGAGGCCAGGTCAAAGGACACAGAGCCTTGTAACGTTGTAGGAACTGTTCGTACGGTCTTCGATAGGCGAAGCCAGCACGTCTCACTCGTAAATTCTCTATTAGACCTAAATACTTGACTTGATGAAGAACAATCTTCTCGTTAAACTGATCTGAAATCCATGAAGTTGAGTCGTTAGCCATACCGAAACGATACGCACTTGAATCGTGTGTAATAATAACTCACTGGCCATCTTGAAGTCATTCGGCTTTATACAGCGAATGTAAGAGGGTTCCTTGCCCATAAGAATTTCCATCAAATTATTTAAACTGTTCTTGAACTGCGTTATGGCAGTCTCTGGTCGTTTTTTACTCGTCAAATCTTTGACGTCAAACACAGCCTGTTAAAATAATAGCAATTTTCAACAAAATATATCCAATATCACGTGATGCGCATTTAATCTAACAGTATCTACAATGTATGATATGTATTATTAAAACTTCCAAAGATATCAGTATCATTCATTAAATGTTATCAGATACTTAATCAACTTATTTCGATTATCTATTATCCCTTCAATTAAATTATGGTTTGATCATCATTCTTAATGTTGCAGTCGTGACTGTCGCTGATAGAAATATCCTTGCACGATTAGCCATTATATAAATTACCTTTGTTATGGAGTTTTTTGTATGGGACATTACTTCGCGCAAGTCCCTGAATAATAAATCGTTATTTTTCTCCAAAAAACCACGAACATTGTAAGTGACATCGCCGGCGTAATGCACCAGCCTAAATTCCTGTAATTGTAATTAATATACAAGAAGCTGCTTACACCGATGGGTATTGCATTAGAAATAAATTTATTATAATGGTAAAACTTCACTTACGTCACGTCCCATAATTTTCTGGGTTTGTATGTCAGCCTTCATATGACTGATGTAGTGAGGATGATTATTCAGACTGCAGTTTAGCTTCTCCAAGAAGCTAAGATCGGTCGGATCACCAGGACGGAGACATTCCTCGTCCAAAAGTGATATGATACCTACAGACAAGAATCCCTTTGTCAAAACTTCCCTACGTGCTTATCTCACTCGAGAATGTAGAACCGTCCAGAATACACCCACCTTTGTGCTTCTCTTCGATCAAGTCGCAGATAACTTTGTTATTGAAATAATGCACGTTTTCCCACGTAATACCTTCTCTCAGATATTCCTCCTGCTCAGCCTTCAACGTAAGCTCGATGAACAGTTGCTGCAGTTTCTCGTTACAGAAATTAATGCAGAATTGTTCGAAACTGTTAAAAAGTCATGAAATTTTGTCCGATTCATCCAGTAACATTTACAAGCAAAATTCAATAATCGCAAGACTCACCTGTTCTTTGTGAATATCTCAAAACCATATATATCCAAAATTCCCATTATAACATTGCGACGCGGATCTGCCGGTTGAAGCGATTTATTCAATCTGCTTACCAACCAGGTAAACAACCTGTCGTAAACTGCTTTGGCAAGAGCATCCCTCGCGTATATTGCCAATTCCCTATTGAAGGGTGTAATAACCACATCTCCATGAGCGTCAATGGTGCGATGAGTGAATGCCTTAGCCAGTTCATTGACGTCACATCCGAGAAGCTGATTAGACAAATATATTAAAACATAAAAAAAAAGTAAATAAAACTATTTGAATAATCATTAATTCGTACTCACGGATGCTATTGCGTCCACGGATGCTGGCTTAAGAATCTTTGCGATACCTTCTTCTTCGGTGAAACCAACATTTCCCATATGCAGAACTGAGGCAACAATGGCGAACAAATCATCTTGTTCGGATTGAGTGACTTCCACTGTCTTTAAAGCCTCTAAGACTTCCTTGAACTGATTGATATCGTCGATGGAATCTATGACTCCTCTCGTCTGATAATAAAAGGTTCAATAAAAAATTAATAAATTGAAGGAACAAGGTTCTTATAAGACACTTGTACTTACGCCACTGCTAAGATAATAATAGGTATCTAAATTGCGCTTTAAGAAAAGTTTACGCAAAGTCTCGTCATCGGAGCCAGCCAAAAGTTGATAGAAAATATGAAAATTTCTCTCGCCCGATGTCTGATGGACGACTCTTGATTTTTCCAAGAGATAATTCAGAATATTACCACCGACCGGATCACCCTGTTGTAAATATGATGTATGCATAACAGTGATAAATATAAAAACATACATACGACAACTGCGCCGGAGTTATTATTCATCAGACTCACCTGATAGTTGAATTGGATGTCCATATATTTGCCAAAACGTGATGAATTATCATTGCGATTAGTCTTGGCATTTCCAAAGGCTTCGAGAACCGGATTACTGCCAATTAACTTATCGTTGACAGTTTCAACTTCCTTCTTGTGACCGGTTGCTGCTGCGATGAACTGCAGTACCTTTTTCGACGCTTCCGTTTTTCCGGCGCCGGATTCACCTTCAAATTATTATACAATTTAACAAACAGAGATCGAACGATTTCACTTATTCCATATGAATACCTGAGATCAAGATGCACTGATCACGATTTTCCTCGGTGAGAGATCTATAGGCCGTGTCTGCCAATGCAAATCTAAAAGGAGAGTATACACAAACATGAGATTTTAAAATTTTAAACTTTTATAACTATTCATATATTGTATATTCCTCTCTTTTGTTAAATACATACATGTGCGGCGCTGCCTCGAAGAAATTTCTTTTTTGATAAAACTGTATATTCTCATCATTGTAGATGGGTAGATTCTTATAAGGATTCACCGATATCAGCACCTGGCCGATGTACGTCTGTAATATGAAAATAATTATATCATCCATGTTCGAATCAAACGATTGCGGTATAAAATTTTAAAAATGTACAACATAAATAGAACTAACATAAATAAGATTCTCGCGAAAACGTTTACGTAGGTTGTCAACAAATGCATTCTCATTGGTAAAATCTTCTAAGAGAACAAAGTCCTGGACACCAACGCGGTCCCTCTCGTGCAGTCCTCTCTCCATAATCGTAGAGACTCTCTGGTTCTCGACTTCCGGATTCTTGCCGGACTCGCCCCCACCACCCCCAGCTTCCGCTGCGCTGTTTTCGACGCTGTAAAAAGTATATAAATTCATATTAGATAAAAATTTAATAAATCATTTCTATATAAGTCGTCGAAAAATAATTAGTAAACTTCATTTTTGTTCTCCGGTGTAACTAGGTCACTATACACTATACTGTATAGTCTTAGGTCCGTATTCATATCTATCGTTAAATACCACTTCCGAATAGAAGTGATTCAACGACCAATCAGCAGCCGTCTTTTCGCCGATGCTAAATTTTCATTGGTCGTTGGCTCGTTTTTACTCAAAAGTGGTCCGAAAGACGAGACGTGAACGCAGATCTTTGTATCTTTACCGCCATTATACGGTAACCAACCATAAACTCTTCTATTACGACGATAACCGCACACGGAACGTGACACCTTATGCATATATGTATAATACATATGCGTGACTACGATACTGTCGGGTGTCGATAACACGTGTGGTGGCGAACAATTGTCGCGTACATATAAAACGTACTTTTTAAGTAAAACGAAACTGACGCCATGACAACTTTCTCAGGATAGTATCAATTTCCGTGACAAGGAAGTAAATCATTAGTGGGATTACCATCGATTTTTGATGGGAGCGTCAGATATTATTTCCCTTGCTATCTTTTTACACGTTGACAATCTTGTTATTTGACGTTAGGTAACAAGAGAAAATCAACTGGATTTGAGATCCAATCTAAAAATTGTGTGTTAAGCCTGAAACTTTGCGATAGATGGATATATGTTATCTGTACTGTATCGCTACTTCGTATTTGTCACGCGTGCACATAGTAAGTTTAATCGCATCAAGATTGCAACAATTTGATAATCTCGGGAGGTCTGATTAACGAGTTTCAACCAATATGGATTAATCTCTATAAAAGTATTTGAGAATTAAGAATTTCTAGGTTAAAATTTGACGAGATCGACGTTACTAAATAATAATTTTAAAATATTTAAATCTATAATTTTCGTATGATCGAACAAGAGACATTTTATTCTTAAGTATATTTGTCTTTTTTAATTATAAGCCTATCGTAATTCCACGGACACTAACGTGACCTTGCAAACTGTAAAACGATAAGCGGTAAAGCAGATACTGAAATTGTCGATAGGTTACGAAATAGCTTTAACCGACCGTTAGGAAAGGCATTTGTAAATTTCAAACTGACCTGACTTTTCTCCTCGACATTTATCTGTAGCAAAGCTCCCGGAAAGTTTACCCAAGTACTTACAACTCAGTCACCCGTTTCAGCATCGTACATAAAATTTCCATGACACGTGCGTCGTGGTAAATACACTCACCTCATTTTCATGGCGTTGCGTGATGCGCTGATACGTGAGACGATTTAGAACGAAGGCGAATGAAAAGATACAGTAAAAAATATATTAATCCAAGTACAAGACGAACACGTCAGGCCCTCTTTCGAGAATAATCGTCGTTAGAGGTACCGTGTTGTTTGAAAGAATCGCGCGCACCTGGTGGTTGCTGCTGAGTCTACGTTGGCCAAACTGTTCACAAACTTCACGACGTTCGAGATAAGATAGGCCCGTATGCACGTGCGTACGATTTAAATTTATGCCAGTCATTAATTTTGCTATTTTGTCAGGATTACCTGGAGCACTGAATTCTCCGTACTAGTCATGAAAGCTCGTTAAAATGTAACCGTCTAACGACTCGAGTCATTTGAAAATTCAAAATACCCGCCGTTCTCGCTATCGCGTCGTTCTATATTATCGAGATTCTCGATAATAAAATCGATAAAGTATCGCATCGACGACAACGGCTATTGAGATATATATCTTGTTAGATATATTTATAAGAGTTTGGATCGAATTGTTATAAACTTATTTTTCTTTTCTCTTAATATCATATATCGATTCGAATATGACGCAATCGTCATAATTCGATGTTACGTAAATCTTGGAAAGTTCATATATAGTTACTGTTGTCATAATCCGATAAAATTTATTGATACCTATTTTATGGCTTTAGTTGCGCGTTATCGAATAAACTTTCGGACATTCAAAATCTTATGTATTTCGTAATGCAGGTAATGGTAATCAGTAACGAAGATATAACCTTATCTTTTAACATAATTATTATTATACCCGATAACTGATTCTCAATGATCATATTTTTACTGAATGCCCACCATCTAATTGATATTCAAAAATGTTAATGCTAAATTATTTATTTACTTTAGACTTCATTGTATCCGATTCTTACTTGACTTTAATCTATTCTCGCGTTTAAATTACATTGATAATTTTTGCGCAAACATACTGTATTTATTTAATAGCTTTTGACTCGAGTATACGAAATAGACATACTTGCATAGTATATACCTACATCGCGCACGTTCCAGTTAAAAAGGAATAGAAGATTCGCCCGTTCATTCGGCCAAGGACGGGATTAGAATCAGTTACGGTAAGGTGAGTTTCTACGTAGAAGCTAGAGAAAACGGCAGGAAAATAGAAGCTTCTATGAGAACCTTAAATGAATATTTTCTGTAAGGTTGTTTGACTAATCGATCGATCAAGTAATCGATGCCCAGTCCCACGAGGGTGCACAGGCGTGGCCCAAAAATTCATTCGATAATCAAAGCGATAAGGATAACCCGATAAGTTGAGAATTTATAATTACCTAGCTTACACAACCGAAGTTTAAAACGTTACTCTACGATTAGAAATTACCGTGTAAGGACATTCGTTTTGTAGTTAAAAAATATTTTTTTCCTAATAAATTTCAATTCGACAGCGAAATTAATATGATATATTTACGTAATAATTTTTTACAACAAATTACCACCTTTTCACATCGAACACGTGTAATAGTGTAATAATACGTTGGGAATCGGCTCGAAAGATTTCATTCAGTGATTAAAATACATTAGAATACTGTATGCATTATTCAAAAATCTAAATGGTCCATGTATTAAGTCAGTAGCCGTTTGTGATCCGTGACGTGTAAAGTCAAGCGTGAAACAATCCGGTAGCCATTATTTAATTAACTTTTCCTCTCGCGTTCACTTGCACTCTCGAGTCTCTTCAGGAAGAAAAATAATGGCTTCTCCCAGCCGCCTCGGGTCACCAGAACAAGGAATACCGCGCGGATATAAAATGGTAATTTTTAAGTACAGTAGAGTTAAAAATTTTCTAAGTACAACGAATATCCATGGAACGAATGCAGTATTGCTGCAACAATTAAGAACAGCGATTGGCGTCCATTTAGCAACTCGAGTCGATCCAAGTCCGATGGATTCGCCATAGTCACCTGACTGTCTTTTTTTTTTTCAAATATTTTCTACCTCGACGTTTCGATTATTCGCACTTCTTCGATTCCATTGATTATAGATAAACGAAATACAGAGCGAAATATGATACTGGCCGCTATTTTTCTGGCTGATAATCTCTCTCACATTGTTTCGCGAATACGAACCATTATTATTATTACTGTCGATGTGGTATGAATAGATAACTATTTTCTTCTTTTACACTAACAAGTAATCCAGACACTTTTTTCTTTTACGCGATATGTAGTTTACGACTTAACCACCAGGTGCGCAAATTTTGCCACAGATACGAGGATGCTAACCTCCGCGATTTTTCAGTTAGGAAAATTCGATAACGTCGCGACGCTCACTTCACTCGGAAAGCGATTTCTGAAATGACGAGGAGCCGACCAGGCAGTCGGCTACGGGAGTTATACTGACTTCTGTGATTGCCAACCCCACTGTATGGCCCCACCAAGATAACTGGTACCGCCACTTCGATTTCTTTGGACCATAATCATTAGCATTGGTACATCAGATGGAATTGTAATGAATGTTAGTCATATGCAATACGATAAATCGCCTTACGAAGTCATTGAACCCCATTGGAAATATATCCTTGTTATTCTACTGTGCACTGACGTATAGGCAAGAAAATATATTGTTTGCCGTGCCAGCGAAAGATATGGTAATTATGCCTCAATATAATGTATTGACATATACAAATATATTTGTTTTCACGTATCCGGTATCCACAGACCGATAGATATGTCTCGTTCAACAGTAGTTTTCAGTCTTTTCAATGTCTGCTGTTCATTTCGACGCATCTAGGTTATAACGTCGTATCTGAATGAAATTTTGACAACGTGACATTAAAGTGGTGTCGGGCGATGTCAAAAATTTTTAGGAGCATTGAAATAAAAATTTTGAAAATTTTCAGCATTCATCGGTCGGAACTGCGCCAGCTACTTTACCGACCAGCAACAAACTCGACGGCTCCTCGTAATCTATAGAATCCATATATACATAAATTTCCTGTAAAAAGAAACAACTGAATTCCAAGGAAAAAATTCCGATCCTCTAATACGTTATTCGATCATTTATTAAATATAAGATAAAACTATTCGCTTTGCAGACATTATTAAATCAGATGCTTCTATCGTTCTATAGGTATGATATCTAATCTATAATAATGATTTTTGCGATAAATGCTATAGACATTGATTCTGTACAAGTAACACGTGATGCGTTCAGGTATAAATGAAATAAAATTTTTTTAAATAATCACTTGGAAATTTTCGCTGATAATATTGATATCTTCGAAGAGTAAGTAGGTCAATTGTATTGTTAATTATCGATTATTCGATTTCAGAGTCGTCAGGGCATATTCTGACATTTTTTTTTAATTTAATGAAAATTTTTCGAAAAACTCATTAATGGTCTACCTTTGTACATGATTGTTAACCAAGTATCGGATGATGACTCTGACAAGTCTCCTATCCTCGTGATACCTTTCGTGACCTCACTGATAACGAAATCGAGAAGTCAATTACTATATCGTTCACGTATGAAGAGCAAAATGACAGGTAAGCAATCTAGTATATCCGCTTATCGTCTTGACGTCTGTCCCTGAAAAAAGATCGATTGATCTGGTATAGTTTCGAAACGATCATTCCTACTGTAAATTCCAATGATTCTCATGTATTACAATGGACCCATTCATCTTTGTAATTCTTGTGTGC